GCACCTACTTGTGTGCAATGATGCATTAATATGCCTAGTTCTACGCATAAAGTTATTGCGTGTCAACGAATACAGCTGAGGGTTTTAAGTAATTTTGAACCATATATATTTGTGACTAGGTTAGTTTTCTTTTGCACAGATATTTCTTAATGTGTCTATTTCTTAGTATGTCACCCTTACTCTTTATACAGGCCCATAAACACAAAAACTCAGTCTTACCAAGACTTGTATTTCCATAAGCGTAAGTATGTAAGTAAAATCAACTCCTTTTAACCTCGATACGACAGAAAATAAAGTAAATATTCGCTTACACACAAGAAACGCGAAACCATTACATTATAATATGGGCGACGAACTGTAAAAGTCTTTACAGCAATTTTCCGCATGACACACACACATACATATACGCGTATACACATATATTATACAGCGTGTGTTTATGTTGTACACATGAACAGCTCGGAGACAATAATGGAGTATAAACGGGCTATAAAGGGTGTTTTTTGTTGTGTAATTTTACTTATCGCAAGAAGTAAAATGTTTTAGTCAAAGCTTGCTATCTTTTGTATGTGTACATATTCTGAACTATAGTATGTAGATAAATGCAAATTATGTTCCAAAATATATACTTTTCAAAGTCAAAAACATGGTGTTATCAATAACGTTTTATGTGTGTTACGAAGTGGAAATGTCCTATGGAGAAAAATGAACATGAAGCCCCGTGGCCACTCTTTTCCAATCAATTCTTAGTTAACTCCAAATGTTATCGAAACTTAGTCCTATACCGGATAACTATTGAATAAAAAGCGGAGAAGCTATCTATGTATCTATGAGTACATCCCGGTGGCCGCTCAATTTGTGCCCAGATGAGTTTCATAACACGTTTAGTGCGCCCCCACGCGGCAATCTTGGGCAAATTGGAACGGTTAATGATAGTCACGACTTTGATATTCGAAACTTTTATCACTATCCTAAACCTCGTTTTGAATGTTTATTGGTATTTATGGATACTGGCTGGCTTACTCGTGTAGTTGATTTTACCCCTAATGGGTAGAGTATTATTATACTTATGGGGAAGTGTTTTTTTTAATAAGTATGCGTAAACTCGAATGGTTCCAATTTTAACTAAATATTACAAGGTACTCCCATAAATATACTGAGAAAAGCTCTACTAATTTCGAGTCATCGTTTCGAGTGGTTCTAATTTCTGTTTTGTCAACTAGCTGTGCCCGCGACTTCGTCCGCGTGATCACAGCTCCTCCTCCGTAGATGATAGCGTGATTATATGTGGCCTATATGTTAACTCGACCTGTTAGTAATGTTTATGCAAAATTTGAAGCAAATCCATGCAGTACCTTTTGAGTTTAGCCCGGACATACATACAGACAAACATACGAAAATTCCATAAAATATATTTTTTGACTTTGGTATCGATTGTATATGACCTATGCATTCTTTGTAAAAAATATTTGATATACAGTTTTTACTTTACTACGATTTTATTATATGTATAGATTAATGTTGAAGTGAAGAGATTGTGTGTACAAGTTACAAGTATCATTCAGTGATGTAGAAATTAATAAGATAATCAGAAGAGGCTTCATATCTTTGTAAGTAATATAATAATACTAATATGTGTAATAAGACTTCAGTCAGGTATTCATAGTTAGGTACTTTATTGTCCTTAGCGTTATTTTCTTTTTCGATCTCTGTGACTGGATTTTGGTGTGACATTGTTCTCACAAAATTAATCCAACAAAACTATGTAACTAAAGAATTGTATTGTGAAACTGATTGAAAAAGAGTAACCTATGAAGTTTCTTGCTCGTTCTTCTCCATAGGAATCTACACTTTGGAATGAGCAAATAGCTTCGCTTTAAGTTTTTTTGTTGACGTTCTTCCTGGTCTAATTGACGTAAATGATTTTGACGTCATCATATTTCTAGCTAACGAACGAAATACTAGCGAAATAAATTCAATAAGATTAGACATAGAAACTATTTCTTTCTTCATAATAATATTTAGTATACTAGTAATACTTTACTGAACTTCCATGGTACTATAATATGCACTCAAGAACACTTATTATTAGACAATATACATAATATGTTTATTTTGAAAACTTATCAATAAGGCCTGAGTTAAGTAACTACTAAATGAGTGTAGCCGTATGATCTATAATAATTTATCTTTTATCAAGAAGAAAAAGAAGATAGAAGAGAGAAGACCCAGCTCATGGATGTTAAATTGACTCTAGTAGGGAGTCCGTATGTACGCGCGACTCCCTAATCGAGTCAGGTTGACTTCTTTGAGGCTAACACAACGACAGAAGATAATAGAAGCAGAAGAATGGATATAGAAGTCGAAGAAGAACATTAATTTATTCGTTTGTCTTTGTGTCTCTGTGTAGTTTCGGTATAGTGTACAGTATATTGTTATTTAGCAGATTCAATGCTCGCATGTATGATCCACGCAAACTGTTGTTGGATCTACATTCACTTGTATTAATTATGAAACTGTCATTAATGTTATTTCAGTGTTAAGCTAATTTGATTGGTCTTGATTTTGATCTGCACAACTTATCAATTCTTAAAAATATTTTTCTTAAATTAATATTTCCTCTGAACGAATTAGAATTAGAGTCTTAAATTTTCTTTAAAAAATTGGATCTTTTTGCAAAATGAACACGAGTAAATCCGACTATATTTCAAACCAACCTCATTTTAATTAATAAAATCCTCGGGAATCCCCCGGCAGGGGTAAGCCGACGATTATTTTAAATTTTCTCCTCCGCGTGGTTAAGGTAGAAATGTAATTTCGCATTTTTTATTAGAGATGGTGTAATGTATGGTTTGGGACACTAGTGTACCTTAAAGTATAATGTATGTTATGTTTTCGAAATGTATAATAATATGTTATGTCAAAGTATCGTACTTTATTTCAATTAGTAGATACTATATCATAGTATAATTCACATTTATAGTAAGTACTTTTATATACATGCGTACTTTTCACAAATATTATTGTTATTTTGTTGTGCTAAAAACTGTATTTTATGTAATGTACTGAAAACTATGTATATGCGCCTCGACACAAATTGTGTACTAAACTATTTCATCTAAATTCTATGTAGAAGTATAAATAGATGCTAAGATAGAAAAGTCACGAGCAATGCGCTTATTAAAATAAGAATCTTTGTAAAACTAAAATAAAATCCAATTTAAAATCAATACCGACAAGTCTTCGTGCAATATCTGAGACAACCCTTATTACATCTCGCGAGGGTTGTCAACCGCAAATTATATCCATTAACAATAGTTCTTATCCAGCTGACATTTCAACACGCTATTCACAGTTGAAAAGAAAAGGACACGAACACAATTAAATTTAACATTTCTTCTAGTAAAATATTATCTCAGAACATAAAGACCTTTTAAAAACCACAATAAAATATCTAATTTAATACCGATACCCGCAAAGCCTCGCTCAATCTCCAGCAACCAGAGACAACCCTAATGAGATCTCCAGAGGGTTGCCAGTGGAAAAAATGCTTTTAAAATTAAAATAAATTCTTCCCAAGACAGTCCCGGCTGCATGTAATCAATTGGAGATTAAAGGCAAGAGGATTGCTCTGAGCCTTTGCGATGTAATTTTCTATTTTATAATTAAGCCTCTTTGTGTCATCGATTTGAGGCGAAGCCACTTCGAGGGGTTTAGCGGACTGGATTACAATTAACTGTACTTCTGTAGCAATAAGTACGTATACATGCGTGTGTTGTGAATCCTGTTAGTACAATAGGTACTTACTTGGACAATATCTATACATCCATAATTACATATGAATAAGTATGTTCACATGCAATTATACTTCGTTATTGTACTTATGACCACTTTTATTAACCACCCCCAAACTATCTCTTATCTAAAAGTTACTTAGCGTGAAGGAGTACTTAAACTCTTTATCTGTGCTTTTAGATATCACTTATAGGTTGGTGAAAATCCAAATGTCTTTAAGTATTATCTACCTTAGTTTAGGGGTTCCTTAACATTTAAGAGAGATTGGTGAAAACAGGCATTTGACGTCGAAGTTTCGTTTCATCGCTCATTACTCGCGACACTACAATGTCAACTACAATATAAAGTAAAGGCTACAAACGTTTAAACAGACTGCGCTATTCATTTCAAAGACTTTGTCATTCAATATCGCTGTACAAAGTAAAAAAACATCGATAAAGCAACAATACACAAAAACAAAAACACTTTGACGCCAAACAAACAGTAAAAAATAGCGAAGAAACCGGTTCCAATAATTCACAACAAAATAAAGGCTGCATTAGTCCCAGCTGCGGGAATAAATCGAGAGTTTACAGAAAAGAAGCCAATCTATTTGAGTGTGGCAACACAGAGCGTTCAGAAATCGAACGCGCATTCCCTTTGGGAAATTAGGGTTGCCAGCTTGAAGCTTGTTCCGCTGAGGTCCCGTCATAGCTGGTTACGACAGAATAATATATTAACTACTGGTTTGATGGGATGCAATACTCCTTTGAGCTGCCCCGTCCGTCCGTGCAGTAAACGAAATCATTCGGCTTTGTAACACTCAAAGGGTTTCCTCTCTCAGACACGATCTCAATCAAATAACTAACTTAAACCGAAACGAAATTTGGTTAGTTCTTAAATAACTTCGATATTATTAACATATACATTATTATCTGTAATTAATTGCAACTTTTCCGAGTCCATTGGAAACTATTTACTTTACTTAATACAAACCTAATGAAAGTCGTACACACGTACATAATTATGTAATGCATATACTTACTCTCAGCAATAGCTAAAACTCAATGTTTGAAATATTACTTTGTTTTTGTCTCCTTGATAATTAACTATACTTTAAAACAAATTATTCTCAACTGTTTTACATAAATCCACCTGTTTAATCTTGATACATATAAAATAATTGATTCCGACAGATTGTTAACCTCTCACTATTCTACTTCCAGTACAAAATCCCGAAGAAGGAGGAGGTGGTGGAACAGCAGCAGGCTGAGCCTGACAACCCCCTCATGAGGAAGAAGAAGACTCCTGAGGAACTCGCGGCTGAAGCGGAGCTTGAAGACCAGGATGAGTTCACTAGTAAGTTGACTACACTTCAAATATAATGTTCTAGTGTCATATAGTCTGTTGTTGAACTTTGTTAAAATGTTCATTTCGAATGTTCCAGAACTCAAAAACACCATCGAAACACAAGTGAACGAACTAAAGTCGCAGATCGAGAGCAAGTGCGTGATGCAGTGAGCGCCTCTCGACCATTGTACAACTATCTGAATACATGATGTAGCTGAGCTAAGGTCATTGTTACGACGATGTTTCACACCCTGTATACACCCCACCACCCACACGAGCCCCGGATAGCGAATAAACAAAAACTAACAATTTCGTTCGGACGTATCAATCATTCGCGCTCAACATTTTTGTAGGAGAGATTCGAATTCTAAATTTTTTCGGAACGTAGTTGGCTAGTGGCGCGTTGGTGCTTGATAATAAGCAATAATATTTTTATACATTCATAAAAAATTTTTGGAAGGCAGCCCTCGATACAACTGTGAAGCGCGTTTCTGAACGTATGGTCAAAAAGTCATTAACTACCGAGCGTCAGATGAACGCAGTCGTGCACTCGTCAAACAGTTTATATGTTGGAGCTTGTGATATATTGTTATTTAAGTGTAAAGTTGAAATAATATAAATACAACTAGAAAGAATCGGTGTAATCTATTTAAAATGGAAGACAAGTTATTATAAGAAACTCTAGCACGCGTGTAGACTCGACAATCGATTACTCGACTATTCATCGCCTTCTCTTCTCTATTTCGCACTTACATTGAAATAACAATGTATTCGATCTGTCGGTGTATTTGTTTCATCCAAATTCCACGCTTGTCTGACGGTCTGCCTGTTTCCCGTGGTCTTACTACGATTCGCTTGAGCTCTTCGACTTTTGCCTCTAAATCTTTTGCATGCGTGCTTATGCAGTGTTAATCTATGTGTCAATGTAATTTCTGTTAGGTGTACATACCTGTAATCGACCTAGCCTTAATATCCACATCGAATATAATAGGTAATTGTTATGGAGGCGCGCCGCGCCCGCTGTTGTCCAATACTTTCTTGCATGTTTAATATAAGACTCAATGTTCATTTAGTGTTTAATGTGTAAAATGTTGTAGATAAACAAGTGGATCGCGTTGTGTTACCGTCGCGCCGACGAGCGTTGTTCTAATCTAATGTTTTATCGATGTTTTACGCTTAGGTATTAAAGTTAAATAACACATTGTGGTGTGAGCAAATTATTCGAGCGATTGCACCAATCGGAGCGGACTACGAATGTAAACTTTGTTGGCGGCAGAGAGTTGTAATGAATATCTATTATTGGCAGTGGTCGCAAAGTAAGAGCTAGACGGCGCACGCAGACAGCGGGTCGATGGGGCAGACTTGAGGGAAGCGCGTCCTGAAGGCAGATCGTGCTAATTGTTCGAACAATGTTGTCCACATAGTTATAAAGCTGCAAATGCAAAAGATTTGTTATCGTCAAAAGCTGTGATATATGAATATAATAAACTAAAGCGCGCAATGCGACGACGCTCGCGCTCTTAGCTTCTTCAATCTTTCAATCTTTCAATGTTCGACACGAAACTATCATTGTACCTTCTTGTAGATCGGACCTCTTCGGATTACAATCTCTTCAATCAGCACATCATGTATTTTATATATCTCTGTTATATATTCACACGCGATGCTCTCTGGCGACAGTAGCTTAGTAAGTTCTCAGTAGACTTGTCTTTAGATCTCATGTGATAGCTGAAGTGGTACATATTATACATGTTGCAAGTTAACTGACGTCGATGTTCACCCGTGCACTGTGTCCGTTTACGATAATTACGACTTACACAAACATAGCTGTATCCATAGGTTAATTTGTTAATTAGTTCAAACATTAAGTACAACAGAATAAGGACACTGACACCAATCTACATAGTATAATTTATATCGATGGCACATCACTAACTAGTCGAGTTGTCAGACAGTTGGCCGATGCATCGATTCGCTACCAGTCGCATCGCGTGTTAAATACTAAGATTATTTTAGATACTTCACTTACACACTTGATGCTTGCTTATTTTCTTACGTTATATGACGTCCTGTCAATTACACCTACCTTCTCTTCACACATATACTATTCAATATACAAACATGTAAATAAAAAAGCAATAATTTCAGATTGTTTATTGAGAATGCTACTATTTTTCTGAAGTATAAGAATCGACTATTTTTCGCACTGTACTGCACTCGATATATTATCATAGCTTGTCTCATAGTTCCCTTGTTTGGAGCACGCATTACGCATCGCTAACGTAAGGTGGGCATCACTCCTACGGCCCCGTCCGGCCACGTCACTAGAGTAAGCGAAATATATACTTAACGTTTCACGATGTATGTGTGGTTAGACTAGGTAATAATATATAACATAGTTGTACCGTATGTGCATGGCAAATCTAGCTAAATGGTTGTATGTAGACATTCAATACAATAATAGTCGGTAAGTCTTGGAGCTGTCTGATGACCAAGTTTCGACAGAATCTATCTTTCCTTCATCCTCTTGTGTGTTAGCTAATACTAATCTATAACCTTTGTCTATATCTTCAATCTATCGTAGTGTAGTCTGCGTTCTACGTTGTTGACTCTCAAGTAGCTGATAGTTTAGATAAAATGTTATTTTGGTATAGAGCGGTCTGTACTGAGGAGTGTGGACTTACTGTCACTAATTTAAAATTAACGGAACGTGCGGTCGCTTTGGTTGCTGCATGACGTGTGCGCAGTGTGCTCAGCTCTTGGCGTGTTGGTGTCGTTCTCTACTAATTAGTCGCGTGCGCGTGTCGAGCTGTGTGTAAACGTAACGTTAGTCGCTTCTATTCTCGTGTATTTAAGCTTTCGATGTTCAGTGTAATAGTTGATAGTGATAACGTTGCTTCACTGCGCCACTTCTTAAGGAATTTGGGTGATATCAAATGGTTGTTGAATTATTTTATGTACCTAATACGAACGTGTTTCTGCTGTCAATGTTTGTGTTACAAGATCGTGGTGATGTAACTGTGTATACATCGATCTCTTCGCCCTGTCTGTCACCGTGTTCTCTATATCTTCACACAACAGTATATTATTGTATTTCTTTTTTATAATATTATAGTGAATTTATAAAGAGGTTTATACAAGGTAGACGTGTAGTTTAGACATAAAGAAAATTATTGTAAAATCAAAATTTTTGAAAAGAATATAAAGTAAATGATTTCCGTATAATGATCCCGTAGTGTTAATTTTAAGGAATCCAAGATGTCGCGACCAATTTTTATATGTTTTGCCACGAGGAAGTAATTGATGTAACAGTTGGATATTTTCAAATCTTATGACTCTCATACTCAGGGTAATATACTTATAGTTATCTGTTCATAGTATGATTTAGATCGTTTAGCTATGAAATGTATGACTTTTTGGCCTACGAAGGCTTTACTTACCTTTCTTCTTACCTCTTCCTCTATTTGTGACCCTTGACCCAAACGGTAGAACGTCTTGATATTTCACTGTTGTTCTTAAATCCTTAGAGGAGTTATGAAATGGTAGACTAAATAACATTTTATGACATAACTTGTTAAACTTATTAAATAAACTAGCCTATTGATAGTTGCACTAGGTATAATGTAAGGGGTGTCACGTGATGGTGCATTTGTCGGCACGGCCGCTCGCAGTGACACGTGATAATACTCAAGCGGGACAAATGCATCATTATCTGCGGAGTTACAAAGAGACTGCGCGAGCGCCGGTAGTGCTATCATCTGACCAGAGAGAGAGCAGACGCTATGAACGAGAGAGTTAGTAAGCAAGGCTACACTATGCAATACTGTCGTACACTCAAATGATAACCCTACCGATACTCATACATTCATAAACTGGTCGTTGCTGGCAGAGACAGACGAAAGGCGGTCGGTGATTGCAATACCGTATAGACAATTAGAGACAACGACACTGTACCACACACTCAAGAGCTTTTACACTGAATGCCAATATTTGTTTGATGTTGTTATTGTTTCAAGTCTCGGGCGGCGCAGGAGTTGCAAAGAACTGATTATAAAGTGCCACACACATACAGTAACTGCGCTGACATGGTTCCACAGACTCTGCGCTGTCGGTGGAACGGTTCGATGTGATTCTGAATCGTTTACAAATATATTCTGTTGTTGTAGGAGCGCGCACAGTATGGCCGCCGCCCTCCGAGTACGAGTGTTGTGGTACGGCAGGCGGCCGCACTGTCCGCGGCTCGATTCTTGTTTGTATATTATAGTTATTGGCCAACACACTAGTTCGTTAGCTTTTAATATTAGTGACATTATAGTGTTAAAATTGCAAGTTTACAGAATGTATAAAATTCCAATGAAACCATTAAGTACTCATATATGAACGGGGTTCATATGTATGTTGTCTTGTTATATTAAAGAAGAAACGGTTAGTAGTTTATCCACAATTAAATTTAAACTTAGGGATTATGGATGAATAACGAAAAAGGTTATTGTTGAAAAATGTTTTTAGGTAATTAAATAAACGGATTGAGCTTCTGTGACACCTTGTTGTTAACAATAAGTTAGGTTTGGTTGCAGTGACCGCCCCGCGGCCGATTCATGCCGCCGACGCCGTGACTATATGTCGGCCATTGACCTCTGTACCCTGGCCAAATGTTGAATCGGCCGTGCAGGGTGTGGCTATCTTCTGGCTGTATACAAACTGCCGTAATAAACTCTATTCTTATATAAATAAGGTTAGTTTTCCTTTCACGACTGTATCACTGTAGGACATAGACGCTTTTTCGCTACACTTCGTTCGCCATTACTGTTGCGGAGCATTGTTAATGTTTATTTACAAGGTCCCTATTAGTTATTGTATAAAAGTTTAGAGGTAGCCATTTTCATATATGTACGTTGAGTTAAATGTGAAAATGGTTTACCTAACATGTTGTTAAATAATAAATAAACTACATTGTACCACTATCTGTTTGTTTTATTTCACAATTCTGTAAACTACAAACTTAACTATACAACCTGGAATAGCAAAATCGTAATGGAAAAGTTCTTACTACAGCGCTAGAGCGGCTACGGCGTAGCACTGGCTACGGTGCGCGTAGCAACAGTAACGATTGTAATATACGACACTTATGACATGGTAATATATTGAAGAAGATTTAACTAAAGAGAGGCTTGAAAATTAAAATGCAACTAAGCTTTTCTTCGAAAAGATTGGCAGTTTGGATGAATACCTTTAACTACAGAATAATATTATGCCAGAAAGAATATTTATACATAATACTATCGAGAATTTCCAAATCGAAAAGTCCAAAAATCCTTCTAACACACCGTCACTTGGAGGGTAAATAAAAGAGTAACAAATAATTAATTAACGTGTAATTATTTTAATCACTTACATACCTAATATTAAAGCTAACCTAACCTACTCACTGTACATCGTCTAACAAATTAACAGCATTCCATACTTTGTTCAAGTTCTTATTGAAATCTTCTAACATATGCAGCATACTTCTCATAGTAGTCTTAATGACTCCGTGATTAGAATCCGTAACCCTTATTGTAGCACTATCATCAGACACTTCAGTTTTCAAAATAATTCCTTCAGTGGAAATAGGATCATCTTCCATCTGTTCGTCTGAAGTTTCTTCAAATTCTTCATCTAATTTCTTCAGTAGTTTTAAGAGTTTCGCTTTGTTTTTACCAGTGAGGTCTATTTCATTTTCAGCTGATGTTTCTTCAACGGCATTGTCAACACTCCTTCTCTTTCTCACTAGAGATTCCAAAATGTTCGTTCCTTCTTCTGATGCTGTCTTCTTATGTTCATTCTTATTAGTATTTTTGTCCAGAGTTTCAGGAGTTCTCTTGCTTACATCACTTTTATTTTTCTTGTTAATCTTCTTTAGAAACTCATCACTTTCCTCTGCAAATGTTTTCGTGGTTTTTGGTTTTCTATTTTTTGCTCCAAAAATTGGACTGTCTTCTTTCAGAGATTTAAAAGACCTCACCTTGGAAATTTTCGGATATTTGTTACTTTTTTTGTATATATTTAGTCTTGGTATATTAGACCGAAGTTCTTTCAAATCATTTAATCTCTGTCTCGCTCTTTCCAATAAATCATCTATAAATTTTCTCGGGTTCGGTTCATATCTTTCTTGGTCGTATCTCTTACTAGTTCTATGTCTGAATCCATATTTTCGAAGTCTACTTCCATATCTTGTATCACCGATATCCCTTCTGAATCTATCGTGACCCAAATTTCTTTTGAAAACATCTTTTATTTTATCTAAATCTCTATTCATGTCACTAATTCTATTTCTAAGAGCATTATTGCCGGGTAAATAAGTATCAATATCTTCAAAGTCATATGAAAGATCAGCTGTATGTGCGTAGTCATCAAAATCATCGTTAACTGAACGTTTAACTCTGTGAGCTTCATGATCGACTGTTTCTGCTTCAACTAAAGTTTTGTTTTCAATCACGTTGTGGCAGGCTTCAATCTTCGTGTTAGCTAGTACCCAGAAACCAAAGGATCTTGCTGGCAAGTTGATGAGAAGAGTTTTATATGGGTGCACCCTTTTTACTATGGGTTTAATATTGCCTTCATAGTACATGGGTCGACCGTTTACTACTATGTTTCTGAAATTAAAAATTAATTAATTAATTAACTGACCAATAAAGGGCATTGATTAAAATTGGTGCCTTTCTTTTTTCTGGCGGCAGTCGATGATTTATGGAAAATATTATCTAGAATGACATTACAAACGAAATTGTCTATGGGCTTATATATAGAAATCTCAGTCTGGACTGAGTTATGAGCGTTGAAAGGAGCTGGAGTCAAACATTTTACTTCGGTTTTTTATTCAAATTATTCATATTTTTGTCACAATTCCTAACTTCAAATTGCGCGCCACTGTACTCCGGGCACAGGAAAATCATATCACACCACAATATATTCATATTACCAGGCACTAATTTTTATTACCTATTTTCTCTCAGTCGATAACTTGTGGGATGTTTCTAGGAGTTGTGTTATAAAGCTTCATGAGCGTCAGCTATGGTACCACTTACCAGTGGTGGGTTGAGTAGTGGTAGCCGTCCAAACATCTAATAAAGTTTTTTGCCATTGACTCCTGGTGGGAGACTCATCTACTTTATAGTTACAATAATCTTTTGAAGAAAGGAAACCGTCGACTTTTAAAGTGATCAGCGCTACTCAATCCGCTACCGACGCCGCAGCTGACAAACATAGCATTTTATGATAGGGCTCAGCAAAGTATTTTGCGGGTTTTCGACTGAGAGGAAATTGATCATGAAAATCTGTCATAGGCTATAAACCGTATATATATAAAGTGAATGCGCCAATCAAGCGAAATTTTTTTTTTTACTTAAGGAGTAGCCAATGGTTTACTCTGTTCTGGTTCCGTGCCAAACACAAAAAAAAAAATATTAATAAAATAGTCTACAATAAGCTTTATTACATTCGTTGAAATCGTTTATAATCATTTATTAAAAAATATTTCTGACAAGTAAACAAAGTTAAATGCGTTGTGTACTGTCATCTTCAACAAATAACAGGAATAATATAGCACTATTTTCACATCTTTGAACTGATTTAACTCGGTTCGGACTGTGTTTTTGATATAAGACCCCATACATTTTTTTGTTTGTAATGTTATTCTGCATTAGTTTATCCACATCCGATCAACTGCCGCGAAAAAATGAAAAGACACCACGCTCCATACACATTTGGTCATTGTCATTTGCATTAATCTTAATTATCACATGTATAAATATTTATTAGGTACATGATTCCATAAAAACTCTTACCCATTATGATCATTTCCCAGAATGAACTGCATGATATCACCACCTTCCTCCCTCTTGGATAATTTTAGTGAAAATCTCGCAGGTTCGTTATCCATGTTCGCTCCAAACAGAGTGACAGCGCCGGGCACAGGCTTGTGACGCAACGATGTACAGTGTCCAAAGAGAACTGCTGGTTCTGGGTCCATTTCTATATTTAGTACTCGTTCACCAACCAGGTTCTTGAATAATAGTGCCATATAAAAACTCTGAAAATAAAAAATGGCTGTTATGTTATAGCCTAGGTATTACGTGCTTACAAGATTGTAAGGGGGAGTTCGGAGTTGATATCCAGGGTTGGGTAAAATATTAACTGATTTACCATTTTTAAAAATACCTCAATACTTAATAAAAAATCAGAGTCTGGTATTAATCTTGATGTATGGCAACAGGCTCGCTCTTTATGCCAGTAAAGTCCCATACTTTGATCTAATTGAGTGCAATTGTGAACCTTTTGTTGTCTCTTTGGAGAAGTTACTTATTCATTATTAGACTAAATCATAACATATTCAGTTTCTTAAATAAGCATTTAAACTCACCAGGGTAGGTTCATACATTTCCTCCTCCTCTAACTCCCGAAAATGTACAGAAAATCCATTTTTAGCTGAGTAGCCAAGACTAGCCAGCCAATCAGCAGCTCTTTCCAAATCGCTGTGCTGCTTCTGATTGGTCTCCGTCAACCAGAGTGGAGTCTGACTTCGGGAGAAGAACCGCAGTAGCTTCAGACGATCACGCTCAGTCATACGCTTCAGTTCATGCGATGAAGAGTTACTATAAAAAATATTAGATATTAAAAGAAAGAATACTGAAATACTTTGTTGAGATAAGAAAGAGGTCTTGGGTTCGATTTCTGATCAGTGCAGTGTTCATTTTTGAAAGTATGTACATACGTAAATAGCAAATATCAGCTTCCTAAGGAACCCTTTTTTTAACAGAGGACACCATCATCATCTGGTTGAGCCTTATGATGAAATATTATCTTCGATAAAAAAAGTATAATTTAGCTACATACCCATTCAACAGCAAGGCGTCCATCATATCGTTTGACAGCGTCAGGTAATCCTTGAAGTCACTCTTAGACTCTGCCTGCAGACACTTGGTGACGTCACCGCCTACCACCTTCCACTGCTCCGTGCGACCGGGAGGAAAGGTCTCCGTGATGGCGCGCAGAGTCTCAAGGTCATTCAAGTATTCATCTATTGACTGGTTCCTACATTCTGAAAGGAGAAAAATAACTTATTTAGTAAATTGGGAAAATAGGTAGATTACATGTCTGTATATCTTGATCCAAACTATCAAATAACATTACGAGAAATGTACTACACAGAAACAATTTTTAATTCAAACCGTGAAAAATGGAGTTTCGGAGATTAGCGTGTATAAAAAACGAGTTTATGATTTCTAAATAGGTTTTAAATTAAACCAAAGTGAAGACTCACCATAACCCAGTTCCCAGAAGATATCCCCAACTTTGACCTTCTCAGCCACGGTCAGAATATTCAGTGCCGTATTAGGATCCCACATACCGGCGGCAGTTCTCTCCTCGTTGTTCAGGGCGAACACCAGGTCGAAACCAGTGGACTTGGCCCACTGGACGAACTTCCTCCACTGTCTATGAGACACCGCCAAGTTCCTAGTTTGGTGATGGTCACCAAGTTTCTGAGGAACATCAGTATCGAAGGCCAGGACATCAAAGGTAGACCTGAGGAGGTCTTTGTCAGGGAAGTCCACATCGTTGATGGAGATAGTCGTGTTGTGGAAGGTCATGTGGGCGGTGGATGGGCCAGCTATTCGGAGGTAGGATGGTGTTAGTGATGCCGCCATGCAGATGCATTCTTTGCTGTGAAATGAGAAATGGACAAGTTAATTAATGTCAAAAGTATTATGAAATTTTCTTAATTTTCTTCCTTTAATAAAGGACACAGGTACGACATTTAAGTTTTAACAATTTTAATGAATTACAGAAAAGTTGTAGCATGGCAAAATTATTATTATGATTGTGCCATGTAAAACAATACAGTCATAGGCACCAGGCAGGTCGCGGAGAACCTAACGGGTAACCGGGGCTCCGGCTCGACGTGCAGGAGAAGGAACGGGGTGGTTTTTAGTCAGTAAGAGTCTGACACTCCCTCCCGCCTCACCCAGGCGGGGGCAGTCATTCGATGATTTTCCCCCCTTAAAAAAAAAAAAAAAAAGGCACCAGGCAGACACTCCCGCCATCTTTCAAGTCATAAATCTGAGTTACACAAAAATTTAAACATACCTGCTATACTTGTCGCTGCTAGAAAATAAATACTTGGGGTCTATAGTGAAACTCAGGAACCTTGTGTCCACCACGTTGACATGTTCATCTGTGCTGATCTTTACGCTATAAGTATCAGAACTACACAGACTCAGGTATCGGAGCAGAAGGAACAAGAACAAATGTATAGTTGCAGCCATTTCATTGACTTCGTCTAATAAAATGTTGTCTGTGACGAGTGCAGTTTATATTAAGGGCGACACAGGAAGCTTTGTGTTGCAGTCAAAGTGCGAATTAGTTATTTTGATTGTATGTCCGTTGTTCTTTGGAAGAAGGCACACTCCTGGTGCGTTAAAAATTTCTACGAGAGTAGAAATGTCTAGGATGCGCTATGAGACGTCAGTGACTGCCTCGAAGTATGTTCGGGCCAAGGTATGAATAGTTTTGTTAATTCCAATGATAGGTGTTAGGCACACGTACCTACTAATAAACAAAATAGTTCTGGGACTCAAGGCGTGTTGTAGATCACTACAGAATAAATAATAGCACTTGTATAATATTGTATTCTATTGAAAATTAAACAAAAACCTTTATTAAAAACACGATTCTCGATTACAGTCTGCGACACAAAACTGCTGACTCAATGTACCCGCGAAACTGTAGACCTCGCACATTTCGCGTAATATACATAACTTTAGCTGATATTACACAATCATTTGTTTACTTTGTTATTTCTACGGAACGGCACGTTTGCCTGTATACATTTCTATTGAATGCTTTTTGTAAAACGTCATTCATCATGTATTCACGTTCGTCTCTTAAAATATAGGTACCTCATCGCGTCTCACATTCTCCAAGAGGGTGGACAGAGGTACATAATTATGTTACAAATAAAAAGTCTCCCGATCGACTTTTTAAGCCGGTAAACGAACAGACGGATCACCTGATGGTAAGCAATCCGCGTCGTTGGACACCTGGAATACCATACGCGTTACAAGTGCGTTATGGATTCGAGCGGGACTGGGATGCTGTCCCCTCCTTTTGAGAAGCATTCAAGCGCATGAGGCAGCGAAGTGCTGTCTCCTCACTACCCAGCACTCGCGAAGAACACTCTGGGCGTCGGGAATCGCGAGACGATCTCCGGCCACCGTATAAGCACGGGCCTGTGGACGGCGAGTATGGGAAGCTCGCCGCCCCACGCGCCTCAAAGAGCCATCAGACCACATAGACACAGACGGGGCCCAATAGGGCTGATGCCAATACGGAGCCGCGTAGAACTTAACGGGTTACTGGGGCTCCAGCTCGAAGTAGAAGAGTAGGAACAGGGTAGTTTTCAGTCAGTAAGAGCCTGACACTCCCTCCCCCCTCCCCCAGGCGGAAGAAGTCATTCGATGATTTTTTCCCCTAAAAAAAGGGATTGGGGTGATTGGAGAAGGGGGTAATTGTTCCGGTAACCTCAACCACACTACGAAATACAACACAAACGTAACGTCGGTTATCTGTAAGGCCGTGGTTTCACTCCGGACAAACCGGTCCATTCGTGCCGAAGCATGGCTCTCCCATACTTAAATTTCTATCATGGATCATGGTGAGTCTGCCTATGATGCATGAGACATCATAGTGTACAAGTATGTTGCGTACACTTAGAGGCACTTTCTTAATCCAATAAGGTATCAGTCCGATATGACGAGACACAAGGTTTTTTTTAAGGCTGGAAAATCATCGAATGACTGCTCCCGCCTGGGTGAGGCGGGAAGGTGTGTCAGACTCTTACTGACTAAAAACCACCCCGTTCCTTCTCCTGAACGTCAAGCCGGAGCCCCGGTAACCCGTTAGGTTCTCCGCGACTCGGAAGTAAATAGAGTGGTGTTGTCATTAAGGTTCTGATGATGAAGAAGTGTAATTGTTAAAGGAACTCCTCAACGGTATACAGTAACGACCTTGTGTTTGGACTTGTATAATTTGTATTGGTTAGAACTTTGCACCTATGTAGATTATAAATGACAAAACGGATCTATGTAGCTTTATACTAAAAATGATAAAATAATAAAATAAAAACTGCGAAACTGAAACTTAAACCGACTTCTAAAAAACCAAGAACTAAGTACTATCAAACAAAAAGTCAAAACTAGAAAAAAAGAAAAAGAAAAAAATAACTATCATTCGTGCTGATAGGTTAACCACCCACTGATACGTTAGAAGTCGGTGCCATAAGCACATATAACTTAGCCACAAAATTGTAAATTAGGTAAATGTTAAGATTTTAATGAATAATTTTGTATAGAACTTATTCTTTTTAAGTTTACCCCACTCAAGGATTTTCACCTGTATCGTATCGTGTGGGTGAATTTGCAAATGACTACAGTTTTTTTGAAGTTTCTGCAAACCTGTGAACTCGTACTTTATCTACGCGAAAAAAAGAAATTGCTTATATTAACAAGTGATTTCTGAAATAAATTAATGAAAGTTTTTATTACTTATTGCTTACGCACGTTGTGGGCCCCCTAGGCTCAGGGGCGCCTTTTTGTGAGACGGTAATTTCTCAAAAAGAGGCTGCTGAGCGGAATTGTGAAAGGACCGATCTGCTCGTAGAAGGCGCGGAGGTAACCGCCTAGGCGCCTAACACGCCGATATCATGCCTGCATTATCTATAGGCAGAGTGGGGACTCTAGGCGCCCACCCAGTGACCTCAGGAAAGACGGTGGCGACTCTCTCTTACGGTGAAACAGGTGAAAGCGTTGTTTCACATCAATTATCTGTGAGGCTTTGATATCAGTCGGGTCGAGGGAGGCCATTTGTGCCAAAGCATGGCTCTTTCGCGAAATGTTATAACAAAAGTGTCGGCAGAATGCAATTTTAATGACGTATCTGCAGAATGCAATTATTAGATAGGTACGTAAATACCTTGTTTCTATATCAAATAATTACAAACCTAAGTATAAAATACGTACCTATTTATTGAAGTTATATCCTTAGAATTTGTCTTTTTGCATGTGTACATTATAATAATATAAAACGAGTAGATTTGGTATGTTGTATAAGGCCGTTGAAAAATAGGGTGTTGTACTAATGTATTATACAAACACATACAAAATAAATACGCAATTCCAACATTTCTGATAGTTTAGTCTTTATTGCTCAGTTTGAATATTCTTTATTGCTTAGAATCAATTATCAAGATCATGTTGCCCTTTCTAAGTAAAGCTTTCCTATTAGGTCTGTAACTGTTTATTAATAAATCAAAATAAAAACTTAATTTTTTATTTTTAGCACGAACGCAGAAAATGTACCTGCTACAGATAATAAATTTTTACTACGTTTGACATTTTCGACTTCGACGTCACTAACCACAACTGTCAAACGCTCATACAATGACTTATGTCATTAGTCACCCGATATGTTTCTGCTATGTATTTATCTCGAAATATTTTAGCGAAATACAAAGCTATCGTTGCAAACAGCAAATATTACTGATAATCACTTTCACGTAACGTGTGATAGCGTATGTCGGACGCATGCGATCGGAAGAAGTGGAAAAGTTTACTATGAAATTAAATTCCATATTTTTCCAAGTAACTGGGAGTGAGTGAGTGTTTATATTAGCTAAAATGGATAATAACAGTGATAAGAAAGACGATGCTAGTGCTCAAAAGAAAGAAGTGCTCTCAAGTTTACAGAAAATATGTTTAGTGTGTGGTGATAAGGCTCTAGGTTACAACTTTAACGCGATCTCGTGTGAGAGTTGCAAGGCGTTCTTTAGACGAAACGCCTTGGCTAGCAAAGAGTTCAAGTGTCCGTTCACGAACAACTGCGTAATCACAGTGGTGACGAGGAGATTTTGTCAAAAATGTCGATTAGAAAAGTGTTTGTCTATAGGCATGGTAAAGGAATTTATTATGTCGGAAGAGGACAAGGCGGAAAAGAGACGGAAGATAGAAGAAAACAGAGCTAGGAAACGACAGCGCGATCCTGACGACGCGGTGACTAGCTCGAAGAATTTGAAGAGGGATGATGAGGGTGATACTGGACTCATCCCGTTGCAGGATACTGTAATACAGTATGACACTCTCAGTACGACGTGTAGCCCTAGTAGCACAGTGCAGTCCCCGCTGGCCAGTGATCTAGAAGCATCGTTACACTCCCCACTGTACAACTACACTCCGGCGCCACCCGTGCCCACCAATGAGCAGCCATACCCAATGAAAGTGTACCCAATAGATGAGAAGTCTATAATCAATAGAGGGATATATGACCAGAGGATGATGGACTCATACAACATGTATGAGAATGTTGACAGTAACAACATTTATCCAGTCGAGCCACCAAAGCAGAATAGTATAAGGTTTGTATTCGAATTAATATTAAAAAACATTTCTATTATTTTAGGTCGCTAAAGTAGGTCATATGACTTTAAAGAAATATACAAGTACACAGGTATTGAAAGCTAAAATTATGGACCGAAAAATATTTAATGAAATGAAATTTAAAGTGAGCAAATTAGGTAACAATATTAATGGTGCACATTCTTGAATAATTTCAATGATCATTTAATTAGCACCAACATCTGTATGGTTATGGCCTTGTAGAATATTAAAGTAAACATTAATAATACACTGTGGACGTAGTACCTATATAGGTTATTATCCTAGATAGAGAATCTTGGGAGCACAGTAAAATGACCTTGACAACAATTTGTTAACACAGCTTCTTAACCAAGGCCGGATATTGCAAACTAACCTTATAAAAATCTATATTTAACGTATCAACCTATTTGGCCATGTATCATAGAGCATAGAATAATTTATAGAGAATCAAGGCCTTTTTTTGTATATTTTTTTATACTATTGAATTGAATTTTAACTCGTCGAGTACCGGTTTTGTAGACACAATTATAGAACAATAGGTTGCGGTCACCGGTGACCGCTTGGTGTTTGACAGTTTAATACATAGTCTAATAGGTTTCTGGATGTTTTCTAATACACTTTCAGATATTATTCTAAAGTAGATTCCTGCTGCATTAAAAATACTTTTTAAATTATTATAACACAAAAATGCCTAATGCCGTAGCCCAGAAACTGTTGGCCTAGATATTTAAAAAAATAGCTAACATCCACAGTTACACTGATTTTACCAAGCAATTTTTGTGATTGAACCAACATACATAATTTTTTTTTTCATGTTAGCGATCAATACTGTAACATGAACATTCACATACCTACTTTAAAAAGAAAATATTTTGACACCTTTGTAATATCAGTTGTATATTTTCAAGAAAAACAATTTAGGTAATTTCATAGTATATTTTTCCTCATGACTGCAGTAATGTTTACGTAGTTACTTTTCTAAAAAACATTAATGTATTACTTGGAAAAACAAATTGATCATTGTAAAACTGCCTATTGAGTGAGTAACTGGATGTTACATTAAATATAGACAAGTTTACATTGTTGTTAATATTTTATGCTCAAGTAGATACACAAATATAAATAATCTACTATATCTATTTGACCTTTGACATTTTAAATGTATACATAATGTCAAGGTGGTAAATGTATATGTCACACAAATGTTTTCTCATAAGTACCTATTATGTTTCAAATCTAATTCAGAATTGCTGTAAAAAGACAGCATATCAAAGATAATAATTTATTATGCATATAACTAGAAAAATCTGCTTACAACTAGTTTTTTGTAAAACTGTGCTAGTTGTTATGGTCTAGAATTTATAGCTTGCTCAGTAAATAAGCTTCAAAGCAAAATCTATTTGTTACAGTGTAAACCACAAATGCTTGTGTTGTTTCTCATGTTTCTGGGTATTTCTTTGAATAACGTTGTCATAAAGCCGAGTCCTAAATTATCCTCAAATCAAAGTTCAGAATTATGACATTTGAACTAAAGTAACAATTGTGAAAACTGAAACCATGTTTTCTGATGGTCAAAATTAATAACTTAGCTTTGGATCAATTATTTTTGACAGCAAAAGTAAAACATTTTGAATTGATTTTGACCGTTAGACGTGACGTGAAAAAGTTTTTTTAAAACTATTCAGCTTGAAAGACACTTTTTCAAAGAAACACCCACTCAGCATGAAAAGTTTTGTTGCAAATCCATCAATCACCCATTGGTCACACATGTAGACGCCACAATGTAGTGATTGTAATTGACAGATCAATATTGACAAATAGTGACAAACCCGCGCCGAGGGAGGCTCGGCCGCAGCACATCTGCGAGGAGATCCCGTCCACTAGCAACAATCCTGATATCAACAAAGCGAGGGATATACTGCAAGATGTGGAGAGGTGAGGACATTACACTTTCTATTCTGTCTATCCTTGTACTACCATTCAGAGCTATTCTAGAAGATAATACGCCAGTTCCCAAATCCCCTGTTACGAATCTGGTGTTTCGGGCGCTCTTTACTTTATGTGGACCCCCATGGGACCTCTTATTTTCCACCTGTGCCTATGTATGATTTGACTATTCGATAAAATAAATTATGTAGCAAGGCGGAAGTAGGCACATAAATACATATTTCCTTGTATTTCGGCTAGGTCAATGGTTTTAAAGCATTGACTGTGCGTGATCGCTAACGTAAATGGGTCCCATACACAAACACGCACTTCACGAATCGTCATCGATCCCACTGTTAGGAAAACTTGTATTTTAATACTGACCGGCTTGTTGTCTTGTTGGTCGAGCGGTTTCTTGTTGGGTTCAATTCCCGGGTCAGAGAAAGCAATATTAAAGCTTTTTGATTTTTGAACAGTCTTGATAGCTATCGTGAAGTCTGTATGGCCTGCTATTAATGGCAGTAAGGTCATCTATTAAAACTGACTAAAGTAGATGTTACATCTGCCTAAGCCTAACTGAAGGATAAATGACATTATGTTTGTTTAATCGAATACCTAAGTATAGTAAACGTAAGTTTAGTAGTAGAGTATAAACGTTACGTTATCAGTCGACCTCGCAGAGATAGTGCACCTGCTGATGATTCAAAGCACAATACAACAATACTGGTGACTCAGCCACCATATGCCATCGAGTGGCCGAAACTGCGGTATCTTTGTTTAGATAACAAACAAATTGTTAGGGATAACACTTACTGTTTACCTCTTGATTATAGTAAATAGTAGGTATACCTATACCTACCTACTCTCCGGAGGTTATACGCCGGGGTCGTGCGGTCCATGGCCCTCTACGGCGCCCCTGTTTGGGCGCCAAACCTGTTGCGGCGTCCCGCTCGGACGCTGCTCATGGCACAGAGGGTCATGGCGATCCGAATGATCCGCGGATACCGCACGATCTCTGGGGAGTCGGCGAACCTCCTTGCCGGATTACCGCCGTGGGATCTGGAGGCGAAGGTGCTCGCGCGCGTGTACAGCATGCGCGCGGAGGCACGTCGCCGGGGCGAAACCCCGCTGCCGCGCCAGATAGGTGCGTGGCGGGATGAGCTCCGGCGCGATCTCATGGCGGAATGGCAGCAACGACTGTCGCAACCGAGGGCTGGGCTCGCTGCCATCGCAGCGGTAAGTCCCCTCTTTGAGGAGTGGCTTGAGAGACGCTACGGCGTCCTCACCTACCGCCTGACGCAGGTCCTCACCGGACATGGAAGTTTCGGGAGGTACCTGTGTCTGATGGGGCGGGAGGAAACGCCCGGGTGTCATCACTGCGAGGACCGCCCTGAGGACACGGTGGAACACACGGTGGGAGAATGCCCTTCGTGGGCTGAGCACCGCCGTGTCCTCAGGGAAGTGATCGGCGATGGCGACCTCTCGCGTCCGGGCCTAGTGCAGGCCATGATGCGGAGCGAGGGGGATTGGGATGCCGTCTCCTCCTTTTGCGAAGCAGTCATGCTAGCTAAGGAGGAGGCGGGACGCGTGAGGCAGCGAAGCGCTGCCTCCTCGCAACCCAGCCATCGCGAAGGACACACCGGGCGTCGGGGATCGCGGGACGATCTCCGGCCACCGTAAGCGCGGGCCTGCGGACGGCGAGCATGGGTGGCTCCCCGTCCGACCAGAAACAGACCCGAGCGTACGGCGCGTCGCGTTCCGCGCGCGCCTCAAAGAGCCATCAGACCACCACAGATGGGGCCCAATAGGGCCGATGCCGATTCGGAGTCGCGGAGAACCTAACGGGTAACCGGGGCTCCGGCTCGACGTGCAGGAGAAGGAACGGGGTGGTTTTTAGTCAGTAAGAGTCTGACACTCCCTCCCGCCTCACCCAGGCGGGGGCAGTCATTCGATGATTTTCCCCCCTTAAAAAAAAAAAAAAAAAATACCTACCTACTCTAGTAGATGTTAGATTATCTAGTTCCTAGGTACAGTCAGTACATGTATTTGATGTGCAGGTAATAAAATAAAGATTGATTTTATTGTTTCTTTTAGTTTAAGTTTTCTTTTCATTTTTATATTATTTTTATTATTTATACTGTGCTCCGAACAGCGTTACCGTAGGTTTATAATTACGTGCTAAAAATCAGCTCCGTGGACTCGAGCCTTCGTGTCCGGGTCACAGTCTCATAGTATTAAGCTGAGCCTTTTGCGCTGGGACACAGTACGCACCATGGGCTATTTACGTGCACCTGTATTCTTGTCTACGTGTGTGCCGTGGTTATAATTGGTTTTTAATTTTTTTTTTTCATTACTTCTATTAAGTGACAATCCATTAGTTAGCTACTGAACTGACTAGTACTTACAAGAGATAGGTCTAGCTGCTGTCTCTGCAAAAACAACAATAATATTTTCTTTCCTACATACTAATACATTGCTGACTGTACCTAGATATCTTTGCCATTTGGTTTAGAAGTCACTGTCGCGACTTTTAATCGCACTGTCCTTGGGTTTAGTTTATCAGGTCGGCATTGTGTTATTGTAATTTGTGCCTACCAGGGAATTTTACATTTATTTTGCTAAAACTAATACCATTCCTAATATTAAATAAAAGAGCAGGGCACCTTTAGCGTTAAGGAGAAAAGAACTCGTTCTCTTTGTATTATAAGTTTTCCCAGTTTATTTTGAGAATATCACATTCTTACTTATACCCAGATTTAGATTTTCAAATCTTTCAAAACTTTTGACTAACTAGCTAGCTATAGTTAAAAACTTTCATAAATGTTGATATGATAACCTATTCAGTAGGTACTAGGTAAGTGTGTTTATAAGAAGTAGATAAACATTGTATTTATCTTAGTTATAAGTACTCTTACTTTTATTTAATTAACAAAATAACTGATTAATAGGTATCATGACAAACAAATTATGCTCCACTGCCCAACACTTGCCTACTTAAATATAATATTAAAAGCCTCTTGATAAGTGTTCCTTTGTGAAATTAAATACATTGGAAAATACCTACATATTACGGATACAAAAACAAATAGGTAGGTAGGCAAGTATATAAGTATGATTATCAATTTTCTTAAATCATTTATGCATGATAAAGTGTTATATAAATAAAACAAGGCTTCGGTTCATCTTATCACTACTTACACCAATTTTTTTACTTCCGACTGCATATAAGTACGTAGTTATTTACGCAGGTGTTAATTACACGCAATACACTTTTACAAAAGATAAGTATTTGATATTTGACAAGTTTACATTAGATACGTAGGTTCTACTTACAAGATTACTAAAACGTGGGCAGTAGGTACCTATTGAAATTATTAAGGCCTATACCTATTTCAATACCAAATCAAAAAAAAATATGCTATCTAAACTGACTAAATTGTAGCAAAGATATCTTGATTAATAACTTTAGGCACAATCTTATTTTCTAGTCAATTGCATTGTTAGTGCAACTTGCGCAAACAATCAACTTTGCGCTAAACACATTTGCGCATTACTTAGTATTTATTGCGCAAATAAAGTACAAGTACAACTTAAAGTACTAATTGTCCTTGAATAAGGAAAATAAAGCAGTGCACGATAGGTATCGTGTAATCAGATATTTGACAATAAGTACATATTTCCCTAACAAAATATGGCGCGACGTAATGTCGATGATTCAGAACAATTTGAAATCTTTGTAGTCGGTGCAAAGTGATAAGATAGGAGATATTCGCAGCTAATTATCGGCTTATGACGATACCTCGCACATCTGCGTGGCAACAGACACCGTCCATAAATATTGTATTGTATACTTTTTGTTCCTGCAAGTCGCTGTTATAAGCGTTTTAGTACAAAAAGAATATACTGATGAAGATAAATAGTGGCGAGCGTTTACACCAACTCGCTTAAAACTGGCGTGACGTTAGCTTTATAGATAATCCTGATTTATTTGATAAATGATAAATATTGTTATGTTTTAATCACGCTACTATGTTGCCGAGATAAGCGATGTACTTAGTAAGTGTAGAATGTGTAAAGTAATTTATTTGCTTTCTCATTAGGAAAGTTTGATTGCGTAAGTCATTAGGTACTTATTGCAAATGTTAATTTTACAATAGTTACACCTAATGTATACAACGCAAGCGTTGTTTCACGTCAGTTTTCTGTGAGGCCGTGGTATCACCACGCTCGGGCCGGTCCATTCGTGCCCAAGCATGGCTCTGCCACACTTATAAACAAAACATAATATCACACTTATTAATCCCAGAATGTATGCTGTGGTGAGGCCCATGTAGTTAATAGAAGATGAGATTATCATCATACATCGTACATCTTTCCAATTATCCAGACTCCGTGCCAACTACAGACGGTTTGGAAAAAACAGAAAAAAGAACAATTTTTCTTTGACCAATTTGCCATCGATATCACTTCCCAAAAAAAAAAAGTATCTTAATTCTTAAGGATGCCTTAATTAACATCCCACGTTTTAATGTTTTTCAGAATAGAGCCAAACTCGATGGAGTCGATATTGTGTGAGGCGATCAAGCTGGAGTTTGAGGCGTACACGTCTGTCAGTCCGTGCAGCGGCTCCTCCCGGGAACTGAACGAGGTAACTATAGTCTGCTCTCTTCAGCTAAACAATACACAATCACATATTCGACGGAATAGGCAAGGGCTTCATAAAAAAACCAGTCGGCATACGCTACTTCGCTTCAGACTCGGTACCATAAGTGACAATTTAAACTGCTTTGTAAGACCAGAAAAACAAAAGCCTTTCTTATTTTTACACCAGTCAAATTCAAACTCAAGGCGTTTATTTCTATTAATCCTTAATTAAGCACTATTGAGATGTCAAATTGAATATGTTAGTTGCCTAAATTTTATTTTAACGTCCGTCTGGTACATTAATTTAAAACACGTATTTTTTCTTTTCTCACAAAATTAAATAGTTTTGACAATATACTAATTTTAAATATCGTGTGACGTCACAGCGTGCCATATTTTGTAGCATGTTATGACGTCACAGCGTGCCACATTTTGTAGCACGTTATGACGTAACGAACTCCCACTCCTAAACTTTGCGCCATTTTATCTCAATACTGCAGCGTAATACGAGAAAATAAATAAATACGTGTCTAACATTTTTTCATTATCTAACTGACGGACTAATTAGATTTTTAATTTTCATACCCTGGCAACTACCCTATTGTCAGTGAAGGTGTTCGTTCCAAAGCGTAGTTTCGAATAGAGAAGGTCGTTCTTCTCCAGTCGAAAGTAGAGTTTCTTGTACGAGCATGAAACTCCTTATTTTCGGCTACATACGGTAGACTCCATTGTTTTGTAAGGGGAGGGACGATATTGAGCCTCGGGTGACTAGAGCTCACTGTCACGGCGGAATATAACATTATTGTTGTTTCGCCGTGCTATCACTCCGATTTAACCGGACATACCAATCTTCTATAAATAGAACACAAGTCATAAATCATTTACCTACTATTTAGCTAAACGGTATTTAAGAAATGAACTCGTCACGCGCCGCCAGTATTGATTAACCCGATTAGATAAGTAGTACTACAGGTGAACACTTGAAATATTTCGCGGAACCTAAATTTATCACACCTGTATCTATATTCGGCAACTCTGCCCTATTTGCGGAGTCAGTATATGGACACTGAATTCACTTTAATGTTAGTTTAATGTTCCCCCTTGTGTAAAGGAGGTCGCAAGTCCAGTTAGTCCAGTGAAGAGCTGTCATGGACTTTTGATAATAAATTAAGATCATGATTCTTAAATGTTCTGTGATAGTTTTGCTAAAATATTTCAACAATGATTGTTCTGAATAGTAATTTACTGTGTATCCTTTCGAAAACAATTTTTCCCCTTATGCATGACGTTGGTAAATCAGTATTTTAATTCCTGTAAATTGTTTATGAAACACTTCACTTCATGACCTAATTCGGTTGTATGCTAGCATTATAAGCCATTTACAATTACCAATCAGGTGTTTGACACCTGCCTGAACAAGAGGCATATGTTTCCACACATTGCTTGTGGTTCTGAGAAAGATTAACCAAATCTCACCCAATCTTCCATTTGGGAAGGTCAGGTGCCTGGCAAATCCCAAGTAATTTAAATAGTGTTCACTGATATGAATGTAACACATTATATTTTATCTATGCCGTTCAGTTATTACGTAAGCACCATTGATATGGGGGGTAAGGGAGTCTAAATGATGATTACATCATGGGCAGTTATTTAGTTTTTACACGAATGGCAACCCTCATATTGAAATTATAAATTACAAGGAAAGACCGACAAAGAACTAGACATAATGATATCTAAGAGAATACTAAAATTACAATATAAAAGATATAATTTAAAATGTTTACGTAAACAAGGGGGGATGGGGGTAAGATCTTTGCTTACTTTTGCTGACAAGGGGGATGGGGGGGGGATAAAAAATATTAAAAAATCTGCTTACGTAATATTTGAACGGCTCCTTTATAAATAAAATTGAATTTCCGTACGTTAGTCTCGCTAAAACTCGAAAACGACTGAACCCATTTGTCTAATTTTGGTCTTGAAATGTTCGTAAAAGTCCAGGGAGGGTTTAAAAGGTGAGAAAAAACTTTTGGTGATACGAAGTTTGCCGAGTCAGCTAGATTAAAATATTATTTGCTATAATTCCAGGTGGAACGTGCGAAGTTGAACGAGTTGATAGTGGCCAATAAAGCACTGCACGCGCCCATCGACGATGACGTCACACAGCTCGTGGGAGAGACTGCCAGCTCGGCTGGGTTCAAGGTAATATCTATTGCCATATACCGGGTACATTTCCAGACTCCGTGCTACTACTGAGATTTTTAAAAACCCCAGTAGTACTGTGCCCGACCCGGGAATCAAACCCGAGGCCTCTTGCCCGGCAGTCGCACATGCGACCACTCGGCTAATGAGGCAGTCAGTATGTAGTATTATTACTACATTAGGTAATAATAATAAAGTTGCTAAAAATGTGCGAATATGTGTAATCTGTCGGCCGACATGGTATGGCAGACAGCGTCAGCGTATACACAAGGCTTTACGGATAAGATAACAATATTTTTACAAGGATCTGTAACATACACGTGACGTCATCACTCAATGTTACATTCGTTGGACAGTTTTGACAGTCTTTCGCCCGAATACTGAAAGGCTACCCAATTTAAGGTTGTACTTAAATATCGTGCTATCGCTGTCACATTACAAAAAATTTGTAGTGACAGAACTACCTATACTTAAGCGCGACTTAACATTGAGTGACGTTTGAGTATTTGGACATTTGCTGTATCGCGGATAACAGGGATTTCCTTGTTACACATGACTTTAGAGGAAGAGCTTATCTAATATTAAAAATTTGGCAACAAACCCGTGCCTTCTCTGGAGTTGTGAGTTGTAACAGGCAACACGGCAAAACTAATCAATGCATTTAGCCAAACGCCACTTTAGCGCTTGTCTACCAAAAGAGTAGAAGACTTCAATACGGTAGTTGACAACTAGTCAAATTGAATACTTTTATCGAAACGTCAACGTGAATTTTGTACGAAATACCATCTTATGACGTCATTATATTTTCGCGCCAAATAGCACACTTATATCTAAAAAAAATGCTAGAATAAATCGAAAATTAAGTATATCAGCAAATCAATGAATGAAAGTGTTACTATTTTTTAATATGTAATTGGACTGAAAAATCAAAATAATTTATTTTTTTGGCCTAGGAAACTATAGTCATAATTTTAATTAGATTCCAGATTTGACAATAGCTACTGTCATTTTGTGAAATAATGATACCACATATAATAGTGTAGTGATGAACACAAAAATCGATAAACAATCAGTGTGTGTGTTTTATAATAAATGTTACAGAAAGTGACAGAATAGCGATAGCAATGACGGCGACAATTTATAGAATTGACAAACAAATCTGCTTTATTTGTCATGTTCCTTCATGATTAAACTTTTTTATTTATTTCACACACAATTATAAAAGAAAAGTCTTAGATCGTTAATTAATCGTCACAACTAAATTATCGGTTCAGAAATATTTAATTTCCTGATATACTTAGTTTACGGGAGTAAAATTATAAATGAGAAGAATCGATCCAGAAATATTGCATTTCCATATCGAATAATTTCGCAACGTCACTATTTAGTACTTGTCATAACGTAGCAACACTGCAATTGTCAAATCTGGAATCGAATTAAAATTCCGAGTATACCAAATCCCATATAATTTAGTTTTCTACTCTACAAGCAGACAAGCGCTAAATGGATGTGTTTGTTTCGCAAATTGCAATTTGCGAATTGATAGCAAAATGGAGAATCTTCGGTTCAAAATCATTATACTAATTTATCATAAGATCTCTCCAGTATCAATAACAAATCTTAGCTATATTTAGAGTTTTAACACATTGACATTCAGTCAGAAATTAAAACCACTATTTAACTCGTCGAGCACCGTCATTGTAGACACAATTATAGAACAATAGGTTGCGGTCACCGGTGACCGCTTGGTGTTTGACAGTTTAAATCTATTTATGTCCTCAATTGACTCTTACCACGGTCAAAGCTTGTGATTTATGCATGCATTAAAATTATAAATAAACTTATATATAATTTAAATTGTTTATATTCTGTTAACAGGGTGGGGACGGCAAGCACGACCCGCGGTTGATCACGATAGTGAACCTTACTGCGGTGGCAATAAGGCGGTTTATTAAGATGGCGAAGAAGATCAACGCCTTCAAGAATATGTGTGAGGAAGATCAGGTATATATGTCCTTCAAGTGAATTAAATTAAAATAACCATGAATAAATTCGTACATCTATTGAATTGTATTTATGTTGACTGCCTTCGCTAGTCGAGACGAGGAACTTGAGTTCGATTCCTGAGTCGAGAATAACTATACAAAAACGTTTTTAAAGAAAAAAAAATGTAATGTCATGTCGTTATCCACCAGGTGGCGCTACTGAAGGGTGGCTGTATAGAGATGATGGTGCTCAGGAGTACGATGACGTATGATGGACAGAGGAAGCAGTGGAAGGTAATTATAATTTATAACTAGCTGACCCGCCAAACTTTGGACCGTCTAATTGTTTTTCTCACCTTTGAAACCTTTTCTGGACGAACATTTCAAGACATAAATTAGCCTAATCAGTTCAGACGTTCTCAACTTCTCAAGTGTTAGCGAGACTAACGTACGGAAATTCATTATTATTAATAGATAAGCACACTCATCACCTGATGGTAAGCAATCAGCGCCGTCAATATAAACCCGCAGCCCCAACGAAGTTATAAGTGCACTGCCAATCTTTGGGGATTGAGGATAAACAGGGAGGGGGATTGGGCTTCCTGTGACGTCACTGGCTCCGTGAACACGACGGGTCGGTCGGTACACGTCGGGTTTCTGTAAAGCCGTGGTATCACTCGCGTCGAGCCGGACCATTCGATATCTTACGTTAATCAAAGACGCATGTACCTAGATAAATATTGGATTATATACACATTGTCAAGGACAGTTATAATACAATGTACTGATTTTTTCATAAATTTGGGAAATTCTAAAATATTTTATCAATGATGGATTGATTGTAGTGTTCGTAGACAATTGTATACGTACATAGCATAGGTTATAATTATTATATAAAGCTGAAGAGTTTCGTTTGTTTGTTTAAATGAGCTAATCTCAGGAACGATGGGTTCGATTTGTTTTTTTTTTGTGTGTTGTTTAGTCCATTTATCGAGGAAGACTATAGACTATAAAACATCACGCTACGATCAATAGGCGCCGAGCAGACAGGGTAAAACCGCGCAGAAGCAGCTAGTCTTACATAAAGTGTAGCCTTTGTCCTGAAGGGAAAGCCTCGGAAGGCTAAGAAGGGGAGTGGTGACTAATAACTTTTATTCTACAGCTTTGACTTACATATGTAACCTCACACCTGTCTCTCAAGAGGGTTACCAGAGACTACGGAATGCCAATATGCCCGAAGGGGTAGGCAATGGTGCATATTACGGCACTTAATGCCACTGTACAGTGTAACACCCACTTTTCACTATTTATGTTATGAGTCCCATGTAATAGGGGGTGAGCCTATTGCCATATACCGGACACATTTCCGCACTCCGTGCTACCACTGAGAACTTATTTTTGCTCGTCCCAGAAATCGATGCCGAGACCCCCTGCCCGACAGTCGCAGTTGCGACCACTCGGCCAACGAGGCAATCAGTTGAACATATAATATGTAATGAAGACGTAATGAATATTCCCAGATCCCCCACTGCCAAGAACAGTTCGGCAGTATCCGCACGGACGTGCTGAAGCTGGCCAAGGGCAACATCTATCGCTCGCACGACTCCTTCATCCGCTCGTTCGAGGCGCGCTGGCGCACGGACGAGCACGTCATACTCATCATGTCCGCCATCTTGTTGTTCACCCCCGACCGACCCAAGGTCGTGCATCCGGACGTCATCAAGTTGGAACAGGTAACTATTACGCACTAGTTAATACAATATTCAACATTTCGACGAAAACAAAACATTCTATATTGTTACATTGTCCACTCAATAGATATGTCGCAGTCCGCTTACGCCCGAATATTCATCTCTGTCATTTTGCAAAGAATTTGTAGTGACAGAAGTATAGTTAAGCGCGAGTTAAAATTTAGTGGCGTTTGAGTATTTCGAAATTAGTGAATTGAATATACTGTTCAGGAAGGTAATTTAAAAGCTTCAAATTGTTAAACAAGTGAATTCAAATTCACTTGTTTCACAAATTGGCTGGCACAGGCTAGGCTGTTGATTAATCAACTGATTGAGCCAGTTGAACCTAAAAATATGTCAAGTACAATATTTTATTAAATTCAACAATTAAACGCATAGTCATGAGTTATTGTAATTAGTATATCCTAGTAGAAACCCATTGTTATCGACACGGATATGTTCCCTGATTACAAGTAAATAATAATTGCTTATCTACCTAATGAACACTTTCATATAACATCTGATAACAGATTCATGGTGACTATAGAATATTAATAGTAGTTACCGGAAAAAATCATGTTTTAAGTTTGTGAGGATGTATGGAAGTTTATTACCATTTCAGAAAAAACTATTGGACTGATTTCGATAAATTATAGTCTATAATGACACATGATGGGGTAATTTTAATCCCGAGAACGCGTGCGTGCGTAACCGCTAGCAAAAACTAGTCTATCATATCAATTATTTCGAGTAAATTACACTGAACATCAATCTTTAGAAGACTACCATTTTTATGACAATCAAAATACTTTCTTTCTTTCAGAACTCCTACTACTACCTCCTACGTCGTTACTTAGAAAGTGTCTACCCGGGATGTGAAGCGAAATCCACCTTCTTGAAGCTAATACAGAAGATTCTCGAGCTACGAAAATTGGCTGAAGAAGTGACTGGAGTGTACCTAGACGTGAACCCCATAGAGCCATTGTTAATGGAGATATTCGATCTGAAGCACCACGCCGCATGAGACACAGGGTAACTTAGAATAAGTATTTATTGAACTCACAACACACGGATTCATAAATAATTCAGTTTATTTTTATATCATTCTTGTTCTCTGTTGGCGATGCTTCAAGGTAGTGTGAAATTTTAATTTTCTTACATTTTGTTTTTCAATTTTGTGGGTATTATAGAATATTAATATGTTAGCGGTAATTGTACCTATGTATGTGTTGACGTAAATTATACTTGTTAACCATCTAAATAAGTCATTTTATTATGTTTATTATTTTTTTCAATCTCGCCCCACAGTAGTATTTTATCTTGTATCATCTGATGTCAAATTAGCATTTTACTAAAAATGTAAGAAAAAATAAATTTTGTAGGCTACGTATATGTTGAAGCATCCCTCTTAAACAAATCATTCATTAAAAACCAAAAAACACTTCTCATCTATATCCCTCTGTTGTTTATGAATCCGTGCCACATTTTCTTTGTCCGTCTGTCACGTTGGCCTAAATACCTGAATAATTATGGAATATTTACATCTACACACATAAGTCGAGATTCCGTTTGATAAGTGTATTATATTGTTGTTATTGTACAGTAAAGTTATATGAACATATCAAATGCCAAATTAGTAATTATGTGTGATATAAGTACTAACAGCGCCCTCTACCATGATTTTAAAACGAATATTTGTCGATACTCGAACTCGATAGCGACGACGTATTTTTTTGTTCGGCATGTTTATTATTTATATTTTACTAAATAAATAAATGACCGCGAGACTCGCTGTAGAATTTGTAATTCAAACACTCTGTTCTACGGATCAAATCTAGGAAGCTCCTTCATAGGCGCCCCAAATTTGTTTGGCGCCATCGCCACTTCATGGGCAGTGGAGCACGCACGTTTCGCGGCGCCTTCTGTAAACTGGCGCCCTCGGGACTGGCCTAGTTTACCTTAGGGATAATATGGCCCCGCATGTATCGACAAATACTTTATCTTTAAAATCGTGGTAGAGGTACAATTAATGTTAGGCTGCAGGTCCGATCTCTCACGTCTACTCTTACGAATGCATACAGACTGTCCGAGAAGCCAACGTTGAGAATTATGCTTGGAAATGGAGGCCACTGTATTTTTGCACAGCAAATGGCGCTAGTGTGGACCTCTCGCTCATCCTCCAATAGGGAATTAGCTAGTGGCGCACGATTGGATGATCAATATTTGACAACTGCAGTGATTGGACAAGAAAACTCTTGCTACATTTACGCCATTTGATGCGCAAAAAACAGGTAGTTCTAACTCATGGAGGTTATTAGAAAAATAAGAAAATATCTGAGACAGATGGATTATCCAATATTTTATGTTTCAATGTCATTATTTTTAAGTCAGTTTTATTTTTTCTTGTTGTTCTAATTACCATCATCTTGAGTTTGGTTTCTCGGACACCTGTATATAGTATCTACATATTTATGTACATGTACGTAGTCCGTATAGTTTTACACTAAGTACAATATAAGTATATGTTTAAACATTAGTCTCGTGACCTATGGGATTGTGTTATTGTTAGAGTGCTTTGGGAACATTATTTAATATGTTACTAACAAAACGCAGGTATTATTGTTACTTGCATTTTTTTCGGAATGTTGTCTTTTTCAAATCGAGAGCGAAGGAAAGGGACAGTGTAAAAAAATTTTCGACCGTATTTCGATCCTGCCCTTTAGAAAATTTGTTTAAGCAAAGGTTATATTGAAATTCGATGGCCGTCAAAATATATGTATATTTTTATCTAGATAAAAAAATGAGTTGGGATAAAAGTGCTTTTGTATAATGTTTTGTACATCGAGTATAATAAGGTACAGAATTGATTAACAGATTGGGGAATCTAGACATTGGACTACCAATGTATGTAATGTTCATTTTGTAACCGCTACCTTAGTAGGTAGCGGTTACAAAATGAAAATACAGCTACAAAAGGTACTCCCCGATCCGATTTTCTCGACTGCCTCGTTGGCCGACTGGTCGCAAGTGCGACTGTCGGGTAAAGGTTCTCTGTTTCGATTCCCGGGTCGGGCAAAGTATTACTGGGTTTTTTTAAATCTTCTCAGTACTATCACGGAGCCTGGAACTGTGCTCGGTATGTAGCAATAGGCTCACCCCCTATTACATAGCTTAGACTTTTAACATAAATAGCAAAAAGGTAGATGTTACATTGTACCGTGGCACTAACTGCCGTAATGTCCTCCTCTATCTACCCCTTCGCAATGATTTATCTGAATTTCCCGATAGTTTGATGTTGTACGTTGTTATAACCAAAAATGGATTCAAGTGTACAAACTTAAAGAAAATTAAATTATTTAGCTGAACTTGTATAAATTACTGTTGTGAAGTCGAGCTCAATAATATTAGAAGCAATCTATTCGTGTTTATATAAATTAAATTAGGAATGATATCGACTGATAGTCTGCAATACATACCTCATACCCTTCACTTAAATTACTTTTCATACTTATATGTATAAATTATACCTATTTTTGTGTCATTATAAAATCGACCGTATTACTACGACATAAAGATTGTCTCAAAAGTTTTGTATTAAGTATGAACATACAGTTTGTATGTAATTAATATTCTAAATGCATTGCAATAATAATTACTTATTTTTAAGTAATATCAATGATTTTGATATTTATGTCATTGAAGATCAATTTTTTTCAAGATCATTAGAATCAATAGACGGATTCACTCGTGCTGATTAACGCCTTTTTACGCAAACACATATTAATAATAATTGGGTACCGGCCAACTACACACTCAAATTCAATACTTTTATTCGAACTGTCAAAAACGACAGTTTTCTATGAATTTTGTATGGGATTGTGTATTGTGACGTCACGTTTTTCGAGTCAAACAGCATACTTATTTCTTAAAAATTTGCTGGAAAGTTGGTCATAAAATCAAATTAATGAAAGTGTGATTGTTTTTTAGTATTTTATTGTAGGTATTGAACGGACGAAATAATTTATTTTTGATTAAGGAAAGTACCCAATTATGTCGTCAATCTATCTTCTATCTATATAAATAAAAATGAATTTCCGTACGTTAGTCTCGCTTAAACTCGTGAACGGCTGAACCGATTTGGTTTATTTTGGTCTTGAAATGTTTGTGGAAGCCCAGAGAAGGTTAAAAAGATAAGAAAAATAGTGTATCAGGCGCTACGAAGTTTGCCGGGTCTGCTAGTAAAATATAATCTTCTGTGTTAATCTTAACCACGATCTCTTTAAATAGTATATTACAGTTGCCATACTTATTCTCGACCATATTCCTTGTTGTTAATTATTTTAAACTTTGTGTTCACTTCCCTTCAAATGTTTGGAAATAAATTTACACTAACAAAAACGAATCAATAAAATCATAGGTACTAACACAATACTAATATGCAAAGCAAAATTTGTTAAAACTCTATCAAATGTTATATTTATTTCGTTTTACGTGTACATAGTTTAAATGTAAAACTACGTTTATTGTTAATTAAGAGAACTTTATTTTTATATTAACACATAGAACTCGATATTGTAAGTGCAATAATGTATTTTAAGAAAGAAATATATTATAGTTTGTTTATTTATTTGTTTTATTTATTTTCCATAATGTTTTTACTCGATTTATTCTTATTATTCAGGATTATTATAAAGACAATAAACGAAAGAATATATTTCATTTTTTATTGAATAAACAATCAAACACGAGATAATCATCATAGTTGTATAGAACAAAAAAAACAGATGAAACACACTTGTTTATACATTCCTGTGCACTCATACTTTGCCAACTAATTGGATGTTCAACCACATCTCCAAGCAACTACACTAAATAAATACAACAAAATAAACAAAACATAATCATCAAGATAAATAAAAGAACCTTACATGATGTTCGAAATGTAACCAGCAAGAGTGATCTTAATAACCACATTATTGCAACACTGCTCACAGAAGCAACAAGTCAAATAAACAATTTATAAACCAAGCCCAAACTACTTAGTGCTCTAATCTAACATACACACGATTCTAATTAAAGCACTTTCATGTGCACATTTCTACGACTTCCCATCCTCAATGCCTAAAGCTAACTTCATTTCTAAAGAGTAGTTCTGTTCCACTCTATCAAATTGTCTACCGTCTTCCTTGTCCGTGCCAGCCTCTATATCATCCACACAATCTTCAAATATATCATCAGTAGACACGTCAGTCATAAAGTTTTCGTCACCTAGAATTGATTCAAATACTTTTGAATCGTTCAGATCATTTTCGGCAGCGTCTTTTTCATCAGACTCAATAGCTCGATAGCCAGAGCAGCTGGCGTCTCCAGAGCTAGAAGCTATAGCAAGATTAACACCTTCCAAGTTCTTCCCTTTCCCTTCTTCCACTTGACGAACCTTTTCTTCAATGCTAAGAGTGTCGTCACCAACATTATCATTCTGAGTTTTATCATTTCCTTCAACGATTTTATCATGACCTTCCGTTGTATCGCTCATAGTAATATCATTACCAATTCCTGAATCATCTCCGACAATAGCTGACATCCTACTAACATTCTCGTCTGTCAGCGTGTCTTCTAAGCACAAGGAATCATTATTGCTTGCGATAAGTGTAGCTTCGTGGTCGTCATTGACGTCGTGAAGAGAGCCGGAAGGGCTGCCTGGTATGAACTGTACGAAGTCACCTGCTCTCCACCGTTGTGCGGCTGCATCCATGTGCACTTCAAGGATATGGGAGACTTCTGGCAGCTAGAAACAGACAACGGTAAGTTAAATATCATTTTCAGAACCAAACTTTTATTATTGTCAAAAAAAACTTACTGTGTACTCGTTCTCGAGCTCCCCGGACATGCGTTCAATGATGGCGTTGGTCTTGTTGTCGATGTTCCCAGCGTGACTAGTCATAACGTCATACTGGCGGTACATCTCGCGTTCCTCGTACTGGAGCGTACGATCCAGTATCTCTGAGGCCACGTTCTGATCTATGCGAGCATTTTCTGCCATGTCCGATCGAATTACTCCTAAAAAACAGTAAATAATAACCAAATACAGTACAGAATGTATAGCCCTAACATAACGAAATATTTTGTTTTTACCGTTACCTTGGGAAGGGAATCTCTGATCTTCATAAGAATTAATGGTCTTAATAATGGATCTCTTCGCTTCCTTGCGATCCAAATTCAGCATAGTATCGTACGACGAGGGCAAAATGTTGCTTGTACTAGGATACTCTGTGGCAACATCTACAAAAAGGTAATTGTCGACAAACACATTGTTGAATTTCAAATGGTACATAAAATTATACTATTGTTCTCAAATCTTACTTGTATCTCCAGAAGCACCGGGAACTGGTTCCTGTTCACCTGAAACTCCAGGAACAGTTGAATCTTCGTTATCATGATGAGCGTGACTTTTACCAAACGATTTTCTATCTGCTTTCTGTCCTCCACTTTTACCGTCACATTTCTTTCTAACAGCTTTCTTTTCTACGCCGCTTCCACTATTCTTATCGCTAGCTTTGCTTTTATCTTTAGAAGTGGTATTTCCTTTTGCAGGAGATTTTTTATTTGGTTTGCCACTGGCTGCAGTGACTGGTCTGTTTTTCGGTTTCTTTGTTACTTTCTCTTCTTCTTTTTCTTTCACTTCCTCATCACTTGTGTTAGTATCAGATATTATATTGATTGAATCTGTATCACCAGATGACGCTGAAATGAGTACAGTTTATTTATCAAAATCTTAAATGAAGAGTGAATTGGTACCGATTATCCTACAAATATTTCCAACTGAATTAGAAGCTTGTGAAAATTTATATATGCTTTGGATTATTTACTAAGATGTTTCTGATAAGTGTGGAAGCAAATCTGGGATAAAAGGGATGATATAAATTACGGGCAGACTCGACGTCCTCCTCTCCGATTTCATATTGTACATCTGCGGCAGGTGCCTGATTGTCCACGTATTGGAACAGCACCGCGCCTGGCACATGGGTTAACTTCACTTTAGATTCATCTGAAAATCAAAGTATTGTTACAATTCCTTCCCTTTTTTACAAGCATTCAAATAGAGGGAACTTGATTCATATTGAGGTGCTTGACATATTCATTTGATTGAATTAAAAATGCTGTCAAAGAACTAATAGATTTTTTGTCCATATCTATCATACGAATCGAAGCATACCAGGTTTCTCTCCAGCAGTTAGTTGGCTCAAGGCGATGCGATCAAAAGCATTGTCATTTCTATAAGTGGTGAACTTCGCCTTATCCTGCACCAAATGCGCCGGCAAACTATCCTTCTCCTTGTAGTAAGCGTCCATCTTTTCTTTATCATACAGTTTCTAAGGAAATAAAAATATTTTGTTTAGAAGAGTCTCATCTTATACAATTCATCCAAAGGGGCTACATCTCACCATAGGGTCAAACGGAGGTTCCCCTCTGTCGATCCTTGCCTGTCTTTCTGCTTCCTCTCGGTCCAGTTCAGCGAAGATCTCCAAGTCCTCAGCATTTGGTTCTAAATCTAAATTATCTTCATCAATTTCTTCAGTATTCATACGACGCATATAGTTTATAAGAGCTACACCGTCACCTTCCATTTGTGCTAAAATTATAGCATAACATATAGACTTCAATTGAATTGTTCTATTTGTTTCTATTGTCATTTTTGTGAACAAGAACAACTTACCTTTGACGTTACCCTCAGCTCCCTCACTCGTCGAAGCTGCATTATCTCCATTTTCTTTATTTTGCACTTCTTGTTTTGTATTGTTTTCTTCGTTTTTCTGAGGAGATTCTTTTGCATTATCTTTGGTTTCCAATGGGATCTCCTTGATCGGAATTTTCTTAGTAGTTTTAGATTTCTTCATAGATGGTTTATTATCTTCTACAGTTATCGAATTACTGGTAATTTTAGTTTCTTTTTCTGACCTCTCTGTAAACGTAGTTTGGTCTTTATTCATTATTTGCGTGTCAGTTTGAGTTACATCTTCAATAATACTATCGTCTTTTACATTGGTCTTATTTTCATCGGTGTCTTTGCTGTCGGCAACATCAATAATTTCAACGAGTGGTTTCTTTTCTACTGATACAGAAGCTTTTTCTTCTTCAGGGTTTATTTCTGTTATGCGTTTTTTACCCTCGCGTGATTTTGATTCTTAAATAAAGATTAAAGTTTTGTTTAATGACATAAAATGAAGTTGTTGATCTTGATTTATTAGATAAATTACCTTCTAAAATCTTTGTAACTCCTTTCCTCCCTACGTGCGAGTTTTGGTTAAAAAGCAAGTTGTTGATTGCTTGGAAATCTGACGTAGTGTCACTGAAAGTGTAAAATAACATTTTTATAAGACTTACCAAAGAAAGTACCTACAATGTCGTCCTTTTCTAAGTTGTTATACTATTAGTTTGTGAGATCGATATTTTGATTATTTAAATAAGAAGTCTGGCATGTACAGTGCGCGCTGTAATAATTAACTTCTACTGTACAAGAAAAGTGCATAGTTAATTAGTAAATCGTTCAATCTTGTTACAATACCATCAGTAGTTTTGATTGCTCGGAAAACGAATTAACTTCTTATGTTATTATAACACTTACGGCCTTTGATTCTTCGCCTTGATGTTCCCGTAGCCATACCAGTAGTCATCTGGCAGAGGCGGCGGGGGCTCGTTGGTGATTTCTTGCACAAGACGATTACCGCGATCCCCTTGGCACCACTCGATGTTTCCCGTTTCAATACCTTATTAAATTCAAATTAATTGGATAGCAAACGATAATTGTATTAAATAGATACCTACTCAATAATAAATCATATAAATATATTGTTACCGTCTTCCTTATTATCGCTATCATCGCTGCTCTCTTCACTTGTAGAATCATCTTCTCCAGATCCTGAGAGCATGTCCACAGCTACGCCTTCCTTGATCTTCACTTCAGCAGGATCTTCTTGTACTGGACGACCTTCGATCTCTAGAAGATCTTTTTTACTTTCTTCAGTTTTATTTTCTGGCTTTTCTTCTTCCTGTGTATAATAAAATATATTGTTGCCTACCAATAAATTATTGAATTTATTACATATTAAAAACCATTTTACCTGCGGTGACAGTCCTGCTTTCTCCCGCTCTTCCTTCTCCTTCGCTTCTCTTATTGCTTTCTTTTCATCACGCATTCGAATCAAATACCTGACACTCTCCATTACTTTCTCTTGGTCCTTTGCTATCCAGCTAAAACCAATTTCAATTCATTAAATACTAATAAATATTTTGGCCTTCATATAAAATAAGTTATTGCTGGAAACACTTTAAATGTAAGTACCGTCTCCTTTCAGCGATTTCTTCTTGCACACCACCTCGTTGCCAAGCCTCGGCACAAGCTCGGTCCCTAGGGAAGACCGGCCGGTTGTCCAAGTTGAGCAGTTCCTTTAACCGGAGAGTCAATGTCTTGCGATACGCTGGGATGTTGCGTACAACAGGGTTACCGGTCAGAACCAGCACTGGAAATTGTAAAAAAGTTGACGTTGAGTTTTTTTAAAACGTCGCCTTACTCTAGGCTGTTTTCCTGTGTCGTGGATGCGTTTATAAACATACAAGTTCACATACACATAACACCCAGACCCGAAACAACAATTTGTGGATCACACAAACAGTTGCTCTGTGCGGGAACCGGATCTGCTACACGTTGCACGGCAGCTGCGCCAACCGTGCAGTCGACTAGATTTACTATTAAAATTCTACAATTTTATTAGACATACCTTTCAAAATCACCATATCAGCAAGCACATCGACTATCAGAGGATCTTCTAAGCGGTTGTAAGAAAGGTCCAATACGGACAGGTTTCTACAAAGTCGTAAATGAACGAGGTCATCTGAAAAATGTTGTTTGAACATTATGCAGCCATTTTCAGCATTATTTTTTAATGCATAGAGATATTTTAATTTGCAAAAACATAAATAAATAAGTAGATAATTATAAACTCACCTACGGCGCTCAACATATTATGAGCAATACTTAGCGTGTGCAAGTCAGGGACTACATCTAGATTCTCAATCTTTGAAACAAAATTGTGATCGATATTCAAAGTATCCAGTTTGGGACATCCGTCCAAATTCTCTATCTTCCGCAGAATGTTGTAATGCAAGTACAGACATTTGAGCTCCGATAATGTGTCTAGTCCCTCAATCCGTTGTATGCCATTATTTTCCAGAAATATGCATTTGAGACCAGTGTATTCTTCAAGGTTTTCGATTTTAGAAAAACCCTAAATGGGAGAATACAAGTTAAACCAGAATTACATACAATATTGGATTAAATAATATCTTAGATAGACCACCGCCCAGTGAAAATAAACTATTTGCCTACTTACCTTGAAATGTAAATACAAAATATCGTTCAAGTATGGAGTGCAATACAGTTTATGTTGCCTGCAATGGTTTTTAATGAACTCTTTTGTCATTCTCGGGGTTTTATTCATATCTTCTAATTCCTTCTCCACCTTTTTTTGAAATTCACGTTGTCTTATTCTCTCTTTTGCCGCCTCGCCATATTTTTTCATTTCTTCAGATTGTTTCTTTTTCGCTAAATCGGTTTCCACTTCTGAAACAGGGAATTGTTCTTAAAGGTAAATTGTTATGGGTAATTTTATTACGCCTTCCATTAACTATTTTAGTAGATAATTCAAATACTACCAACAATTGTATTATGATAATTCATTTTCTAACCTTGATGTATCTCATCGGTAAGCGGTGGAACATCCTTTCCGCCAGATGACTCCGTTTCTGCTGCTTCAATGTGATCTCCTTGAGCTTTGGTGTCTATCTCATCCGATGGTAACTCTTGAATCTTACCAGAGTTTTCCAGAACACCTTTCCGTCTATTCTCTTCCCTTCTCAACATATTGTTGGCTAATCTTATCACCTCCTTATTATCTTTCATCTTATCTTTAATGTCATATAGAAGATTGTTTATCTTCTTGCTTCGCTCGAGCTCTTCTTTTTGAGCCTCTGCAATTTTTTTGTGTTTTTCATTTTGTTGAGAGAAATCAATATCCCACAATTCTTTACGTGGCTTCTTCACATTTTCATCAACTTCGACATTCATTTCAGTCGTAGGCTTGTCTTCAATGGAAGCTTGTGCTTCAGCTTGCAGTCTGATTTCTTCAGCTATTTCCTTATTTCTCTCTTCTTCCATTTTTTTCCTCATTGGTCGTAAAATGTCATGCGATTTTAATAACAATTGATCGACTTCTTTAATGAACGTCTTGCATTCATCATTCCTCTGTTCATATCTGGCCTTGCTTTGGTTTATTCTTTCTTCATGATGTTTAAGTTCTGTATTCAATTTAGCTATGGCGTCATGTATACTGTCCATCTGTGGATCAGATACATTATTAGGTTCTACGCCTTCCTGAATTTCGTTTACTTTTTCTGCAGGTTTTATTTCCGCAGGTTTTATTTCACCTCGAAGAATTTCTCCCTCTTCCTTCAATTTCTCATAAGCAATGTTAGATTTTCGTGAATTTTCTAGAGCTTCGTTGACGTCATTCAGTAATTCATTCATGCTGTTCAGTTTATTTGTTATATCTTCGCGTATTAGAGTACTTAAATTTTCAGCTCCCTCAACAATATTACGAGCTAAATTTTTCATCTCTTTATATTCCATTTCATTATTTTCTGACTTTCCTCCGTTACTTGACTCAAATATGCCTTCTAAAGTATTCTGTAATGTCTGTTCCATGCCCTCATCGAATTTTTGAGGTTCATTTTTGTTTTCCACTTCCTGTGAATTCAAATTAGCATCAATGTTGTTCGACATCTCATTCGATACAAGTGCTAGCGATGATGTCTTGTTAAGAACGGAGTTTATTCCTCGTAATACTTTTTCTGTATCTTTAAGTTTTGCTGCAAAAGTTTTGGGAAATACTTCCTGGACGTCTAAATTTTCCTCTTCTTCCAGTTTTACCGCTTCTGCCTTCTTATTGCTTTTTAGATTACAATCTAAAGCAGCTGGATTACTTGTTATTGGTATATTCATAGCTTCATTTATAGCATACGATTCTTGTACCTCTTTAATTATTGAATGACTTTTATTACCTTTAATTATGAGCATTGATGAATCTTTCAGTATCGGATTACTGGCTATTACAGCTGCTGGTTTTCCGTTGGAGTTTTGAGATATTTCATCTTCTTCATAGCTATCGGCTAGCTTTCCTAACATGTCCTTGGTTTCTTGGAATCGTGTTTCATAAGACTTTGTTGTGTACTGACTGACTACTTTTTCTATTGCTTCGTATTCTTTTTCATCATTATCTGAATCGGCGCACTCGCTTTGCTCTGAAGTTGGTTCATCGAGTTTTTTCGCACATTTTGCCTTATAGTTAGAAACAGATGTCATTAGGGATAGCATATTCTTGTAATTTAAATGTTTAATTTTGTCTTTGTCACCCTTAGCATCATCAAATTCCTTCCTCATTTCATTATAGTCTGCTACATTTATCTCTTCAAACGGTATAGCTACGTGTTTGTTGAAATTTTCATTATCTGCCATAATCTGAATTTGGCGCGCTTTCTCCGCTATTATTGGATTATCTTTTAGCATTTCCTTAATTTCTTCAAAATTATATGGCTTACCGTGGTCATCAATTTTAGTAAAGGGTTGTCCAGACATTACTTCTTGTTCAGTCTTGACATTGCTTTGGTCGGCCGCAGCTATGTATGGTCTATTTAAATCAGTTTTCAAAGGTTTCAGTTCATTTTCAATAGCTTTTTCTATCATTTCTTTTGGAAGTTTGACATCCTGAAAAAAAATTCGTAATTCCTCCCGTTTTTTTTCTATATACTGAGGATCCTTCATAGCTTCAGGCACTTCCATGTTATTGTTAAAATAATGTTGTTCGACTTCGTTATTATATTCTGCGTGATTGTATTTGCTTGCGAAAACGAAATAATATTTATCCGCTTTTGACACAACTCAAACAAAACTGGCTTCTAGCCATGGTAACCAGGGTATTTTGTTTGATCAATTTTGAATTAGGAATTTAGGTAATGTACCTAAAACTTTCTGCTTTCTATACTCAACGTATAGTAATAAAAAATAATTTATTAACATATGTAGAAATGGAACAAAAGAGGGTAAAATAATATATTTAACGAATGCAACCAAAGTAGGCAATAAATTGTTATTCATAGGAAAATTTCCAAGAATCCTTGCTGATGACACACAGGCCGCTAACCATCCACATAAATCTTCCACATTTCCACAAAATGGAACGGAGCGTAAAATGTCATTGAGGTGGTTTTATTGTAGATCTGTCAATGTCAAAGTCTTTGTAAAATATTTTTCCCAAATAAATAAATAATGAAGTTATTACACACGATTTCTATCAAATAGTGCGTGTAAAACGCATGGCTTTAAATTATATCAGTGTAAACTCTTATAAGAATCTTTTACACCATTGCAAAATGACGGACGAACGAAATTTTCGTTCGTCTTATTATGAAAAGGTTGGATGCCGGGGGGTGGAAGAAAAGAAATCGTTAGAAATACTAATGAAAGAAAAGCCTTGGGATAAAGTGAAGTTAAAACAGTTCTGTTTAAGATTTACAGTGCCTGCAGCGTATAGGAATTTGGTATGGAAGGTATTATTGGGTAAGTTTTGGCTTTCGTAAATAGGCGAATCGTTCAAACAAACATTATGTCTAAAATAACAAACAATGGTTAAGTATTATTTTAAACTCTCTTCATTCATTTCTACCATTATTATTCTGTAATTATTCTGTATTTAATGCAATTTCATGAACATACATGTTTTTATGATTATTTTGCTACCTCCAATCCAAGTGATACTGTTTATTTAAGTAATATAAACAAACCTGCGGGCTTAATAATAAAACTTGAATGCAAATTTATTATAGAGTATTTATTTCAAATTATCTACTGTCATGTTACAGACATACTGCCTGTGTACCCAGACTCACACCAGTTTGTAATGGAACAGCGCACAGAACAGTACCAAGATCTTTTATATGCAGTTGAAAAGTTTGATTTTGTGTCTACGGACGCTCCAAGGACCCAAGTGTTGTTTGAAATGTGGTTACTAGAAAATGAGGAGAGGAAACCACCACTTTTTCCGGAAACTAATTTCTCAGTAAGTAAAAAAAATTAAAACAAATAATTTAATTTGTTTTAAATTATTAGTTAATCATTTTCCATGGTGTCATGCAACACTTTCGTGAATGCCTCTAGTTTTTAAACTGTCAAACACCAAGCGGTCACCGGTGACTGCAACCTATTGTTCTATAATTGTGTCTATAATGACGATACTCGACGAGTTAAGGTGCACTTGGACTACAGCAATCCCTACTACCATAAGCTTTGATTGTAGTAGCTGAAGAAAAAATACATTAAATACCATAACTAATGTCTTGTAGGTTCCTAATAACAAAATTCATAATTTTTCCAACTGGTATTTTGCAGTCAGCTGAAACATTTATACCCATAGTAAATACATTACTAGAGCTGTATGACGATGAAGTGGATGTGTACTGGTTGGCTAAAAGCCTCACCGATGTAGTACGCAACATGCAAAAGGAGCTGCCGAAACTCAAAGAGGCATTCATCACAATGCTTGAAAAGGAAGATGGAGATGTATTTAAGTAAGAATTATTTCAATAATAACATTTGTATAACAATAGACAGATTTTTGATGTTCAAATATTATCAAGAATGTTTTCCTGAACTCTCCTACCTATTCTTTTTGTTTCATTTTTCAGTCACCTGGTGGACATCAATGCTATGGAAGTGTTGCCACTCACAAAATGGTTCAATTGTTGCTTTGCTGGTATTTTAGATGACACATCCCTTACAAAGTAAGAAATAATAATTATGTAATAGTAACTGTGATTGTCTGTTATTAAATGTTATAATAAGTATTAAACTGTCAAACACCAAGCGGTCTACAAAACCAGTACTCGACGAGTTAATACATAAAATTTCCTCTTTCAGAATTTGGGACAAGGTCTGCAGTGGTGCGCCAAAGATCCTCTCGTTTGCTGCGGTTATGCTAGTTATTACACTACGCAGAAACATACTTCGATCCAAACATTCTGATGAGGTGCTGAAATGTGTCTCACAGGTAAAATTACTCCAACTGTTTGCTTATTTTTACAGAGGTTTCTAAAGACCTACATTATTTAGAAAGAACTTAATATATGAGTATCCTTATCACATTTTATCCAGTAAGGCATCATGCCATACTTGACTCTATTAGTCCCATAAGACAGTCATTACAATTCAGATTTGTATTATTTTTTGCAGATTCCAGAACAATGTGAGGAAGTTGTGGCCAATAAAGCAATCGAGCTGTGGCAGTACTACGGCGCACAGCCACAGAATGACACTCTGGCCAAGAAATGATGTATGACCTTCTAATGGGGTGACCTCATTAGAAGGAAAACGGAATATTCTACCTGTGGAATAAGTTTACGGCAGCTTAGCTTGAAATATTGTTACCTGTATGCAAAGGCCATAGTTGAAGTTGTAAGATAGCAACACTTTTCTATTTGCACAAATAAAATTATTACATGTAACATAATTACTAATGACGAAATTGTATTGTAGTTATATTTAATAAGAAATTAGCTGCACTTCTACTTTAGGCTTGTATATAAGTGTACATATATGAAAGCTACAGTCTCAATCAAGGCCTTTTCATACTGGGGTTTGTGAAATGCGAAGCTATGCAAATATTGTATTTAAATAATAGTTATGTAAAGAGTGTACATAAAATGTTAAAGTAAGGATAAACATTTTGTTCTTCTTTCATTTTATAAATCTCCCATATCTATGTTAATGTATAATATTTAGTGTTACACCCATTGTACTCGATTTCATTGGAGGAAGGGTACTGTGATTCTTGGTCTCTTGATAATTTACAAGAGTTGTGTTTATGATCGTATTTAGACCATTTAAAGAAAACCATTTTTGAAAACGAGACTTCCTAATTAATTTTAATACGAATCCATCTTCAAAAAGTACCTAGTAAACAAAATAAAAATAACTACATAATTTTTCAACTTTTTAAAACGTTCCGTTTCACAGGTTTCGTTACTTATTTATTTTTTCATAATGTGGCAACATTTTACCACTCGCCATTTTGCAAGAATGTCAGCCAAATCATCAGAGCGAGTTTTTAGTTAATTTTTATGTTATCGCATATTAAATTATAGTGATTTTGTGTTTTGAATATCGTTTTTATTGATAAACAGCAAAATGGACCGTTTTATTAGCATGTGGAAAGTTCGGGAGTTGGCGGATAAAGTGTAAGTCTTACCAACGTTTTTGTTAATTTTTATGTAAATTACGGCAATCTGTTTCACTAATATGGTTATTTATTGGAGTTTTTGCGAACCTTGATAGCAAATTGACGTAGACCTTGTGATATTTAATATTTGACATGAATAAATCAAGATGTTTTTAGTGCTGAATAATCTCATTGGAATATTGAATGAAGCTGGGAGTGTATGGACGAAATGCACTGAAAATAAACGTTATCAGTGGTTTGCTAATGAATGTGGTAGATTAGCGACCGGTTTCACGATCTATTTGTATTTCGGCGGCAAAATCCAGGTACAAACTGATAAAACAAGCAATTAGTTTAGGTCTAGCTTAGTGCTGGGCCTTCATTTATTAGAATCACTTATTAGAATACCCGTTCTAATTAGATATTTTATTGTGTATCTTTTAAGTTATGCTAAATTAATATTCGTGTCTACTGTTTAAAGTAGCTACTGTCAGGAGACTGGCTTTCTGATAATTGATAGTTAACTACATAGCTTCCGGTTAATCTCTATTTCTTAATCTTAAACGTTAAAATCTCATTTCAGTCATTAGTCTGATAAGATTGTGTATACATCCTATTTCTCTCATTGGAATAGACTGAAACAATGAATCGCAAGTTTTTTTTTAAATAACTACGATTCTACTAATTTTAACTCATGGCTTCATGGACATTCATCAAACATAACATGCATGCTCTTGAATTGAGCCACATTCCCTTAATCACATGATATTTATGATTCGCAGAAAACATGTTGTTCCGAATCTGATTAATATCTCAAAAAAATGTTTAAATATTATGTAAAATAACTGTGTTTGATTAATAACTACCTCACTCACACAAAAAAGTCAGTTAAGTAAAGTGGTAAAGCAATTCACAATTGAAATAATGCAACTACCAACATGACATTGTAAACATTGATACAGATTTCTGAATAAGATAAATAGATGTTTACAGTCTTTGTAAAAACCCATACATTTTAAATGCATCTTTTACACAACAGTGACAAACTTGCGTGTGGGTATGTAATGAGGGTACTTACAACATAACTATTATGTGGAATTTTAAAAGTAAATTTTAATACTAATACTCTTTACTGATCACTAAATCAGATTAAACTGTTTTTTATATAAAATTGCACAATTCAATTGAATTTCATATTACTGATTTTCTCATTATCATTCATTGCTATGGTTAAAAAAGTACAAGTTATGCCAACAGCTCACACATGAGCCATTCAACTAAATGGTTTAGCCTTGAAATGAGAGTTTCACCATTGATACAATCAACTGGTGACCATTAAAATATACAGCGAAATGAAAATTGTAATGCAATGAATTGAATAATTAACATAAATAAGTATTTTCAAATTATTTCTTCACTTGGCAGTATTTATTTATTCCATCTGGAATGTGAATTATTGCCAAATCTTGCTGGGTAAGGAAACAAGGTAGCTTCACTAGCACATTGGCTGCCAAGTCAAACTTCTTGAACCCGTGTATATTTTCACTGAATTTTCGAGTGTATATCAAAACAATAAGACTCAAAATCTAACAAATGAATTTGGCAGAAAAGTATTGGTTAACCTGCTGTCCGCTGTATCTAATTGTTCCAAAATACTGGCATACGTCCAATAATAGATGAGTGGATCTAGAATCGGAAATGGTCTTAAGTTTTACTTATCTTGTTTTGGACACCCAGTGTTGGCCACACTTCAACACCACTCTTGTTAAGGATAACGTAGTCACTAACAAAATCCTAAAACATAATCAACAGCCTATGTGCCCACTGCGGAGCAAACCGTCGTCTCACACGGAGAAGGTTTGAGCATTAATCACCAAGCTTGCTCATTACGGGTTTGCGATTTTAAACTTTATAGTTAGACATTATGAGTCCAGGTTTCCTCGCGGTGTTTTCCTTCACCGTTTGTCAGTGGTCTGTAAATAATCTTAGAAAGTTTATATAACTGGGAAAAATCACATTGGTACTTGCCGTTGTTGGTAGGTTTCGAACCTGCACTCTCATGCATGAGAAGCAGCGGTCTTAAGCTCCTGGCCACCATGACATTTTAATTTTGTCGTAACTAAAATCCTAAATAAAATGTATGAATTGTTGAACACCATGGAGACATACTACCATACCTATAGGCCATAATAGTTGAGAATTTGCTCTCAACATTTTTCTGTCGGCAGTCAAATCCTTAACAAATTATACATCAATAAGTTGTTGCCCACTCTGTTAGCTGGAAGGTTTGAATATCCACAAGGTCATTGAACCATCACCAATCAGAATGCAATGCCATACATTATCATAAGTAAACAATAAAACTAGCTTCTAGATTTTGAGAAAAAGTTGAAATCTTATTATTGGTTACTTATTAATTTATTATAATATTATATATTATTACTAATACATATTATAAATACAAAGGTTTGTGTGTGAACTGAAATGATTGTGTTTGTGTGTGTGTGGGTGTGAGAGTGTTTGTGTGTGTGATTATAGCCTGAAATAACAGATAGACTACTTTTAATACCACGGGAATGCGGGCGAAGCTAATAGCAGAAGCTAGTACTAGTACACACATACATAAAATCACGCCTTTTATCTCCGAAGGGGAACGCAGACGTGCACATTACGGCACTTAATACCACTGTACAATGTAACACCCACTTTTAACTACATATTTATGTTACGAGTCCCACTTAATAGGGGGTGAGTCTATTGCCATATACCGGGCACAATTCCAGACCCCGTTCTTTTTAATAAACCCAGGAGTACTTTGTCCGACCCGAAAATCGAACCCGAGACCCCTTGCCCGGCAGTCGCACTTGCGACCACTTGGCCAACGAAGCAGTCATAAAAGAAATCTATTGGCTATTAAATTCAATAAGATTTTCGTATAGGTAGTCAAGTTCTTATCTTATTTAGTTAATTAAATTAATAAGAATTTAATATTAATGTATTGTTTGTACGAAGGCTTCAGGAAAATCGGTGAAGTGTTTAAATTAATGACTGTTTTATTGGAAAAACCTAGCAAATTGTGTGAATTGTGGTGAATTATAAATTCACCATGTTATGTTAATTGCTCCTTGAGCTCAATTTGAGGATAGTTGACGGCACGGCTGGTGCGGTGGTTGGACAATCGGCTACCGCGCAACGTGACACGGGTTCGATTCCCGCACGGAACAACCCCGTGTGATCCACAAAATGTTGTTTCGGGTCTGAACGTGTTGTGTATGTGAACTTGTATGTTTGTAAACGCACTCACGACACAAGAGAAAATACTAGTTCAACATATCTTCAATGCTAGTTTCGCCAGAAATTTCTTAATTTTCTTGACGATTAACTATTTAATTTTATGAAGTTAATAAAATCTGACTGAAATATTAATTTTATTTTAATCTTCATTACAATAAAAGAGATTTGTTTTGACTTAATACCTCAAGGAAATATTTATTAAATGTAGATACTATTGGGGAAAATAAACATGACACACATCATAATTATATTATGTATAGGTAAGTAGTTCACATCTGCCTAATTACATATATGTAGAATACACATTATTTTCAGAAATACCTAATACATTATATTTTTTCCCCATAATTTCTTAATATAGTCCACAATATTTACATGAGGCAGGTAAATAATATTAGTAGGTATTTATATCTGTTTGTCCATAACGACATCAGTGTTATTTTACAAAATAATTTAAATGTTCCATTCCACACTTATACCATTAGGTGTTAGTACTAGTCACTGGAAATATTAAATGTTCTAAAATTATAACAAATCTTCTTACATTTTTATTATTAATCAAGTCAGATAGATAGATACAAAATAAAGATGATCAGTTCATGCACAACATTATTAGCTTTGTATATTCATACTTAGGCGTTAATTTGTATTCCGTTCACTAAATAAATATGGCTTATTGGCATCTAGTTATATAATACTTTGTAATTTCCTGCGCTAATGTTTTGCTTCGCGGCTTTTCCCTCCCCTTTTCCTTAATTTTTGGTATCAAGGTATAGCTATCGTTTCCTCTCAGATAAAGTTGTCTCATGTGAGATGATTTCAAGATTATGGTTACAAATACAAGTGGGTACACTAACGTTACACCCAGACCTAGAAGGGCTAATTGTAAGTTACACAAAGAATTGTTCCGTGCTGGAAATGCTGGAATAATGTTACCCGCAACATGTTGCGCTGGAGAGCCTAATTAATACTAATTATCCACTGTGCTAGCTATGCAACCTAATTAATATAGTTGTTTTAATCGTAGATTTAAATAAGTGGGTGTAATTTAAATTAGTGGGTGTCGATACATAAATATACCCATAGCTATATCTCGTGGCTATATTGATAGTTGTACCTACTGGTTACAATTGTCCAAAAACTTGACAGGATTGCAGCGTTCACCTTGATGTAACCTTTCACTGCGTTGTGTTGCATAACCACTCGTGTGCGAGTAACTTGTTGATCTCGGTGTTGCGTGCGGACGATGCAGGTCGATTTACAATACACACACCAAACAATACATTACTGCATACTTACCTATATAAACTGATGCCTTATTGTCCCATAATAGTTGGCACTAACTACATAGAGTCGACAAATACGAACCTTGATACTTCTTCAACGTCTTGTTTTTCAAGCAGAGGACTCCGCATATTTTTGCAGTACCTAACTCTCCTATAAGGAAAAATGTGTTACCTATATACCCATATTTACGTATATCACAGTAGTTTGAAATGCTAAAAGATTCCTATATGTTGAAAGATCTAAACTATAGTTTATCTAGAGGTAGGTGACCTTGTCAGTAATCTTCATAAGTAGTAGCTACGAAATGCCTCTCTCTTTCCCCTCCATTAGTTACTCACATGCTGTCTGCTGACTGCTACCTAAATACCTGCTACTAAACCATACTACTAATAATGCATTAATTTACCAGAGCTACGGTGTATTTCGAATAGCTATGTGACTACCACGCGAGCCCACGAATTGCTTGGCCGAGCAAAAGGTTTCGCACCCAAAACCCGAAGACGGGAAAAAATAATGTCTGTTCTCCGATTTCCGAAATTCTCAGCCCTAAGTACACCCGGCCACACATCAATCTATACAAAACCAGTTTATCCTGGTGTCGCGTCGCATCATCTTTCCGCACATTTAACTTTCAGTTTATACTGGTTATGTAAAGCTCGATGTGTAGCCGCGTGTACTACAGAGACTGGAGTAACGCCTGGTATTTACTAATACTATATGGCTGGCTATAGACGCAGCCGTCCATAATAAGCTATCAATTTCACCTTCACCTATAGAGCTGTATGTACGTATGGTTCAATTAGTTTTTACTTCCAAATAAGCCCTGATTACTCATAAAGAAAGCATCACACCACAGTGCAGTGGAAAGTTGAAGTACTGCATGCTCCCTTGGGGGTAAGCAGACTAGTCATAGGTAGGTACTACTTATCTATTCTCGAACAAATAGTACGACTGTGATTGTGACAAATCTCTAAATGTTAATTTCGATAATTAGAAATAGCATTATTGATTTGTAATAAACAACAGGTAATATTACATACTGAAAACTACTTATTTTGCCTGTCTGCACACAAGGAAGGAAAATGTTCAGTTACAGTATCTAATGAGTTGAAAAATCGAGTCTAATCGATTCTTCGTCGAGTTAACGAGAATCAAATTATAGAGTAGGTAATTAAGAAGAATATTAGAAATTAAACTCAATCCCGCATCGTGTGATAAAATCATTGAAATGTTAAAGGAAAACTCATTTTATTACACTCGATAAATTGCGTTTTATTACTTGTCTTATACTTCAGTATGTACTTATATTTTTTACTCTCATTGTGTGTCTATGTACAAATGATGTCACTATATTTATGTAAATACTAGGTATACAATGTGTAATGATACTAAAAATTGGCGTTTAGCGTTCAATGATGACGTTTGTTGCAAATGAGGCTGTTGCGACTGCTGACCTCAATGACCAAAATATTGAGTTCGAGCCTTAGTTCGGAAAACTTCGGACCATTAAGATTCTCAGGCTGTTTCTGTCCGTACAAGTTAATTACTCCTTGTATTTTCATTTATGTTGATAGCTCTTAAACTCAATAAACAATCCTTAGCTTTATGATGTCCCGATGTCTCAAATGATTACGGTCGTTTTAACTATAAAATGTGTCAGAATATCTTCTAATTAGACCAATATAAGTATAACGAAAACAAATGAAAACGTGAACCATTGAACAATGATGCACCGACAGTTCCACACAATATGGCGCCATCAATAAATAAAAAAGGAATCGTTTCGCAATCGTGACGTCCCGCGCATAAATCAATTTCGGATAGCGCAGGTGTACTGTACTGGTGCACTTGTAATATCTACGCATCCCTAGTAACATAAGTTCCATCTGAATCAATAACTCCCATATCCGAGCAGTTTAATGAATACGCTTAATCAGGTCTTACGTGATTTGTGACCTCTCTATTTTATTAATTTAGTGTTAAATTCTCGGTTTTTGTGGTAAAATGCCTTTGGATGCGACCGGTTTAGGAGCTATTCGCATAAATGACGGCAATGTCCGTAACGTTCGCGGGAGTAATCTGTGCAGTGTGTGAGCTGGTGACACTGAGGAGTTGCAATAAGGTTAGACTACTTTCTTCAAAGTTGTCGTTGTAAATAAAGTTGAGCCCACGTGGTGGTCGTCTCGGGGGCGGCAAATTTATATCAAGTTTGAATATGCTACCTTGCAATTTGGTTAGTGCTTTTTATACACTTTCTGTATTATATTTCTAGTTAATTTAATATTAAGTAATACGAATTAAAAATGTTTATGTTATGTTATTTATTTTTAGTTAAAGATGATTTTGAGTTAAATTTAGATAAATATTAGAGGCTGTCCATCATGAAGTCTTTGCCTAAGCAACGTGCTCATAGCTTGATATTTCCAAAGATATAAGAATTTAGGACACAGGCTACTAATAGACTAGTCCAGACCTCAATGCGACTGCGCGAACTGACCATTGTCTAGAATCTAGGTGATACACGTCATGTGTTCTAAACAAGTGACGTAGCTTATCTCCATATGTACTCATATCAAGATGGAATCCGGCCCCATAGGATTTTGTAGTGATTAGCTATCAGAAACTAAACCTTAATTAACAGGTCAAAATATGACACAAGAAATACTTAACGATAAATACCTGATCTTTATCTGCCTCTGAGAATTACACGCAATGTTTTTTTGTTATTTATAATGCAGATATATTGTTATCAGAAAGTATGTTTTTATCAAAATCGCGCATGTCTTTACTCGGCCGTAAAGTGATCCACTGATAGAGCACTTGCGCCTAATTTGTTATCGTAACAAGTTTTATTTATTTGTCCCTGATTGACAATTGTGGTACCTTCTGATGCAAGTGGGGCGTTTGATCGCTTCATTGAGATCTGTGTTGCACATTAATAGCTGCATTATATGCGAAAGTCAGACGATGTTGTTGTTTATAACTGTAACAATAGTGCTACTGCACTCTTTTCTTGAAATGATACAATGAGGAATGTCTTCTAGGCAAATTAAGCCAGCACAATATGAACCTCAAACCTTCTCCGTGTGAGAAGAGGATTTGCTCAGCAGTGTGCAATCAAAGGCTGTTGATGACGATGATGAGTGTGTTATAACTGGTTGACATAATAGAAATACTAATGCTAAGATTATATATGTAGAATATTATCTAGATTTTTTTATGTAAGGGCTATGCAGCTATATGTATTTTTAATCTTATCGCATTTGCCATCAATCACTAAACTCTATTTTCAATCAGATTTTCATCACGCCAATTAGCTGGAGAAATGTGTTCATTTAAATTCTTCTAAGATAATAATAATCACACTTTAATCTTAGGTACATTTTAACTCTAAAAACTTCTTTCAAGTCAAGCAAAATCATATATTTCTATTAGACCAGAAAGGTATTTTTGTGTGTAAAGTGAAGCTATGTCCATTCCTTTAGCGAAAGCTAACAGCATAACATTTGTTACAGCACAAATGTAGTCATGAACTACACGGAGGTGGAAGGCAAGGTCCGCGAGGCGACGTCAGACGAGGCGTGGGGTCCCACCGGCCAGCAGATGCAGGAGCTGGCGCTGGCCACCTTCACGTACGAGCACTTCCCCGAGGTCATGTCCATGCTATGGCGGCGGATGCTCCACGACAACCGCTCGCATTGGCGACGCACATACAAGGTAACATCGACATCTATTTATGAAAGTAGAAGAGCAACTACTGTTGATTGTGGTTGAGTTGTGATGGGTAGGCGTGCTCCGCCTCCGTCGTACCAGGAGAGATAGGGGCCAAACGCTAACCCATTTTCAGTATATGTAACAAAAGTGAGAAACATATCTGAATTAGCATAAATTTTGGATTTGATGCTCGGTTTATGGCAAGAGGAGGCTTGCCCCTTATTATAGAACAGACATTGCAACATTGTAGTGAATTATACAAGTACCAAATGAATGCCCACAGCACAGATAAATAAGTAGTTGTACATTTCAAACGTTGTGTAAAAATATCACAATGAAAAGACCCAAGTACCTAATTAAAATACGCTCCACTGACACCTTATGGTAGATACGTAGATAACAGCCCGCCTGCCGGTATCCGCGATACGCTACTCATTACATTCAGTGCCACTGCCACCAACCAGGTAATTATGTACGGTGTAGTGTGGCCAATGGCAACACAACAACACACGCTTCATTGAAAGGATAAGTAAACTGAACTGTGCCAGCTGTAGGAGCAAGCGAATTTATGTGAATGAAGGTGAAACCCTTTATTCATAAATGCGAAAGTACCTAACTGTTTAATTTGATGTAAAGTCACCAGAATGATCTTAGATCTAAGTCAAACCAATAATAATAATTAAGGAACTGTTTATTCTTTTCTTATTTTTTTTAAAACGCTACCCCACGCTACTATTTTCTCCTGTGTCGTGGGTGCGTTTACAAACATACAATTTCACATAGGTACACATGACATCCAGACCCGGAACAACAATCTGTGGATCTCACAAACAGTTGTTCCGTGCGGGAATCGAACCCACGAGTGGCAGCCAGTTGCCCAGCCACCGCGCCCACCGAGCAGTCAAATATATTACTTTACTACCTTTACTATACCGCAGTTCATGGTAATATTATGATGACGTCTCATTAAAGAGAATGATTAATTCCATATACCATCGTCCCCGAGTGACCGAAGTCACGGGCGATTTATTTTGATTGTGATATGATAAATAAAACTTATGTTGGGGGCAAGTCATTACTACTGATAACAAATTATAATTATCATTAAAAAACCCAAAAAAGACTTAAACAGAAGATATAAATGATAACACAAATTATGAAAGGATTACAGATTAAGCGCAGTCATTGTAGCTGATTGTAAAACTCATTAGTAACTTGTTGGAGATCGTCCAATGTTTGTACACACGACTACACGTCGAGTAATACAATACCAGTATAAACGGACCGCTGAACATTTCGGAAGACCATACAATGCGAGGGCACAGTAACTTGGTTTTCTGTAGTTTGATAAGTAGCAGTCCACACAACTCCCGACACTCGTGGAATGTATTTGTCATTGCGACCCTAATGCTGCAGCTCGTGTAGCCCTTCTCTTTATTTATTTATTTTATTTATTTATTATAATAAATAAATAAATAAATAAAATAAATAAATAATCAGTAGTTCGTATCATTCGGGTCCCTGGAAAGTGAAAACATGTGGTTCAACAATTTGTAGATCACACATTAATATGAATACTTAATTGATAATTGTTTAGTCATCATTATTATGATTGTCGTCAGTGTGTCAAGCTGACTTTCCGCTACAGAACAAACACAGGTATGTGTATAAACAAACACAAAGACTTCCAAGACGGTTCGCTATAATCCACGCTGGGCAGCACTATTTAAAAGGTTCAGGTTCATCAAAAACGCTGTTGCGTGGTTATCTTCAAATAGTGTTTTGGTCGGTTCTTAGTAGGAGTTGGAATGGTTTATTGTCAATAAGAGTCTGACTCATCCCCTCTTTCCCATCTCTCCTCACCCAGGGTGAGAGCAAACATTGGATGATTATACCTATAAAAAACCAGTCAACATTTATGTATGTATCTATGTATGACTATGTATGTATGTTGTGTTGCAGTGTTTGCTACTCCTGAGCTACCTAGTGCGCAACGGCTCGGAGCGCGTCGTGACGTCGGCGCGGGAACACATATACGATCTCCGCTCACTCGAGAACTACACATACGTCGACGATGTTGGGAAAGATCAGGTGAGATACTTTACTAAACTTAATACTGGCATTCTAGATGTTTTTGACTCGATGTTCTGGTAAAACAGTGTTTATTGATATTTTCAGGATAAAAATAGGTATTCTAGACTGCTTTGTTGGTCGCGAAGAAATTGATATGTTAAGTTACAAACACCAAAGAATTAATGTTAACAAAAAGCACATTTTACTAATTGTAAAAATAAAATTTCAGGGTATAAACATAAGGCACAAAGTGCGAGAACTGATAGACTTCATACAGGACGATGAGAAACTGCGCGAGGAGAGGAAGAAGGCTAAGAAGAACAAGGACAAGTATATAGGTATGTAATTTACTGCCGCAGTGGCTGTGTTCTGTAGTCTTTTATTAAATTATTAGCCCGGAGTCTAATCATTTAGGGCGTTACAAGTGCGTTGCCGGCCTTTTGGGGAGTGGGAATTTAATAATTGTTGGGAATTGGAAGCTTGGGAGATTGGGGAGGGGAGTAATCAATTAAGATACGTAAGTCCTGATTGTTGTTAATATTGCTCCATGTATTATTGTTATTTAACCAAATTTGGTTACATTTTTTTGCCGAACCCAAAGCCAAATGGTAATTTAAGCGAACAGAATGAAAGAAATAAACGATATGGTATTGTTGCAGGCATGTCGTCGGACGCGGTGGTGATGGGCATGCGCGGCAGCTCGGCCGGCTGGGGCGAGTACAGCGACCGCAGCGCCGCCAACTGGGGTCCGTACTCACTACCGCCACGTAACACGTACACCTCCCCACTACATTATATACCGCCACATCACTCTTCATGCATATCCCACTACTGTTCATGAGAGGAAAGTCATATGACTAGATCAGGAGCATTAACCAAGTCTGACTGTACCTATTTCTTATGTTATCAAATATATGTTATTTAAATTAAATATGTTAAGTATATGTATCCCTGTTCTAATACCTATTATTTTTCGTTATAGAGGAGCCAAAAGAGAGGAACGATGAGGATGAATACGAGAGGGAGGACTCGGACGGAGACTACGGACATCATCGTGAGAGGAGGCCACACAAGTTAGTATACAATAGTTTTCACTCTACTCTACTGTAGATCCTGGCTTACAGGAGTTGCAGCGGTTTTGGGAGGTTGTGGCGGGCTTGTCCCATAAAAAAAAAAAAAAAATAGTTTTCACTCAAAAGCCTTGACAAGGGGCATGTCTCACTTCGTTGCGGGAACCAAGACAGTTATTCATGTCCCTGGGACGCGCCGGACTTCAGTGTTCCGGTGTCTTCATGGTTGTATCTACTGTAGATCCTGGCTTACAGGAGTTGCAGCGGTTTTGGGAGGTTGTGGCGGGCTTGTCCCTTAGAAAGGGGCCTGTCTCAATTTTTGAGCTAAGATTTTTCGAAAAATTCTTATTAAGACTAAGTACCATCTTTAATTTTTGTTAAATTGACTAATATTGAATGTTACATTTCCTAGATCTTCAAGGGATAAAGGTGTTATTTTAAAATACTTAAATTTGTATGTAGTATGTGATCATCAGATTGTTTCCAACTATAGGTAACTCAAAAGCCCTGTGATAATGTTAAAACACTATTAAAACTACAATCAAAATTTCTTCTCTGCAGAGAGAACGTATACCGCGATTCTGACGTAGTAAGTTCGAGTCCCCCTCGCGCTCGCTCACTGGAGCCGGGGGAACGAGCGGAGCGGGGGGACAGGGGGGGACACAAACCATTCAGCATCAACCTCAAGAGCCCCGCCAAACAGAAACCTAGCACGCCTGTCAAGAAGATTGACCTTGGTATGTAATTATTGTACTATACTCATATTAATTGTACGTCATTATTATTAACTTATTTTTTAATACATTTTCGACTATGAAATGCTGGCATCCATATTAGTTACTTTCTATTTTCATACTTAAAAATACTTTTTTATTTATAACCAATAATACAAAATATTCAAAAATAATTTTTGAACTCATTTTATAACATTATAGTGTACAAACAGTACTTAGTTCATCCTGAATCTAACAAAAGTTAGATAGTATTACGCTTAAAGTTGTCCTTATTGATTGATAAACTGCCTGTCACAGAATCAATCGATATTGACCATCAATTTTTTCCCCTGTGCAGGTGCAGCAGCGACGTACGGTCAGTCCGGCAGTAGCGCCGTGTCGGCGGCCGGCGGCCCGGGCCCGGCGGCCCCCGGGCCGGCCGCGCCCGTCCAGTCGCAGGAGCTGCTGGACGACTTGTTCAAGACCTGCGCGCCCGCCACGCACTCGCCGCACAACGATATACTCGACGACTTCGATCCTAGGTTACTAACATATTCAGCATTATTCATGACATCATTAAAACTTATCCCTAAAGCTTATATCATAAGTAATTTACAATTCGTCATTTTAATACGTTTTACGGGGAACTTAAACTATTCGGGGACGCTAGATTACTTTCGAGCCACTTTGGGCTCACAATGAAAAATTTACGTTAAGTCGTTACCCACGCATTATGTTAAACAATCCCTAAATATGGTTTAAATATCAAATCGCATGATAGTTATCATACAAAAACATTACAAGTTTCTTTTTTGGTTATTTCAGAGCGGAAGAGCCCCTTCCTCGCAAAGTATCGAATGAATTTGGCGACTTTACGAATGCGTTCGGTCCTCCAGCGAACAACAACGAAGGATTCGCAGACTTCTCGAGTGCTTTTACTGACAACAACAACTCCAACAACTTGCTCAGCGCTGGAAACAACCTGGCGCCCACTCCTAACCTAATGGCGCCCTCTAATAACCTAATGGCGCCCTCTAATAACCTAATGGCGCCCTCCAATAACCTAATGGCACCCTCTAATAACCTAATGGCGCCCTCCAACAACCTCATGGCGCCCAGTAATAACCTTATGGGTATTGGCAGCAACCTGATGACGCCGGCCAATAACTTGCTCAGCTCGAGTAACAACAGTGCACCAGCTTCGGGTAAGTTGCATTGCAAGATTTTAATTCAAAAGTTAAAAGAAGTCTGTTAAAAATCTATACATATAATAAAATCGTAGGAAAGTGAAAACTGTACATTGAATATTTTTAATAATTTTTGGGGCGTGATCTAAAAAGACGATACCGAAGCTAAAAATATGCTTTTTAGAATTTTTGTCTGTTTGTATGTATGTCCGGGCTAAACTCAAATAGAACCAACATGGATTTACTTCAAATTATACATGAATATTAAGACGTCGGGTTAGCATATAGGCTATATTATTATCACGCTAGGCTACATGTTATTGGATCTCCGGTAACTTCCCTCGCACGCAACACAACTGAAATATTGTTTCAGTATAGTTTTCTGCTCGTTGGCGGTATCACCCCGGTCGAGCCGGCCCAGCAGTGCCGACGCTGGCTCTCCCACACTTAAAACCTATATTTTATTAAAATTGTAATAGTAAGCTAATCTTTAGATAGAATAGTCATCCCAATGTTGGGGTTACTAAAACTACACTCCTTATTTAATTTTCTTTGATGCTTTAATTTTGCTTGTGAAAAAAATTCTTAAGTCTATAGTCCATTAAATTCTGCATAATAAAAAGTGGTTCATAGAAGTAGGAGTGCACATTTATTTTATTTAAATGAATTCAAATATTTTCATTAACCTTTTGAATGCACCGATATGAGACACAATAGAAAATACATTGTCTCGCGTCGATCCACGTCTACGACACACGAAGGTTAATAATGATATCAATATAAAGCATCATCCAAACTTAGATTTTGATAATTATTAGGTAAGTAGTAAACAGATGGATTGGTAAATGAAATAGATTTTGTTTTAAATCCATATAACTCTAATTACAAACAATAAAAAAAAATGATGTATCAACAAGACTCTTCTGTACAAATCACATAAATTATATACAATACAAGGCTATAACAAAATTATTTTTAACATACAAATATAAAAAAATAGATTATATAGTATTATAAAAAACGTTATAGCCTCTGCTTCCAGGCTAGGCTTTTGTCATGGGCACTTGTATTCCATTGATATAAATATATAGATGTGAAATACTTTAGTAGGAACTGACTTTGACCCTGGGAGTATAATCGATAACACTTTATATTGGAGACTCGCATGTCATTAAAGAAAAAAGAAACAAAAAGTAAGAACTATCAAACCAGCATACTCGATAGTTAGTTCTGGTTGGAAGGATTTCCGGGAGTGTGGAAATATTTTTCCCGGATTATTGTGTGTTTGATGATAGGTTATTAATGATACATGTGATTTTGCATATTCATTACAAGCATTTTCGTTTAAAAAAACGGCAATGACATATCGATGCGTGCCCAAGACGTAATCACCTATGTGCGATTCGAAAGTGCGTATCACAATTATATGAAGACTGCCTGTAAAGGATTATACTTTAAAAAAACCTCATCTTCTACGTGTTGTAGAAATTAATTTTCCACTTAAATGCTTACTGAGATGTACTATGCAGTATTCTGGCGCCAAATCTACTTATTTTATAGAAAAAGCTGACTAGACATAAAGTGTAGAAAAAAGTAAATAGTTTAATTTTGTACACAACGCTTTTCTCGTGAAAAAATACTTTTTCGTGTTTTGTCCGCCAGTCTTCCAAGACTGCAAAATGTAAATCGAAAAAAACACATCAAAATACACAACTGCCAATTTTCAACACTCCCGGAAAACGAACCTCCATGTTTCCGCCTTCATGATCGAACTTGAAACCTTCTTGAAACTGTCACTTTTATTACAAAGTGTACCCCAAAAATAAGCTTTTTTTACTTCTGTCTAATGCTATTATGAATAGACTATG